TATCCAATTATTAGAGAATATTCTTTGCACGACCCTAACTCATTTTATGTGTCACTTGACCTACCTATAAAAGGAATATGATGCACTTTTTGAGACAATATACAATTCTAGGGATTATTCTAAAAAGAGGTAAGCTTAGAGGAGGAGGAGGCTAGAGACACCATTGGAGACTCTTCATCATCCAAGGAGCAGATTTCAACCATGGAGTTAGCCCTTAAGGGTTGGAGGAGCATCACCATGAGTGGCTAGACATCCTCTTGGGGCTAGAGTTAGCCCCAAGCATGCTTTCTATATCTTAATCTTGTGTATTATTGAGGGATTAGTGTTGTAATTAATGTTTTGACACTTTGATATATGTAGATCTTGATTGTTCAATGATTTATGTGGTTAAATGCTTTCAATTGATCATTTCATTTCATCCATATGTCTATTTATGCTAGAATAGATGTTCATGTGCTTGTCTCTAGATTTTGTGTTATTGATGCATGTCTATGTGTGTTGATGCTATAGATTTAGAGATTGTCAAAACATAGTGCTTAATGGAATGCTCTTGTGATTTTCTTGATGGTTCATACTTATTCCTTGATGGATTGTGCCTCTCCCCTAGTTTATTTTCATGCTAGTAGTGTAGATGTAGTGTAGTTGTAGTGTAGTGTTAAATGGGAGGACAATCCATACTTGTTGTTTGATGATCCAAGCTTTTGAATGCAAGTAGCATATGTCTCTAACCTTGTGTTGTATTTGGATTGTGAGCTTAATGAAAGGATTAATGACTTATTTTGATCTATTGTGCCTTTCACATGTTGTTTAGACAATATATGCTTCATTGCTTAGATATATTGTGCCTTTCCCATGATGTTTAGACAATACATGCTTAACTAGTCATCCTTGCTTGTTGAATCAACCAAACACACACACACACACACACCAATATTGCAACACACCACATTTCCCTCATTAGTCACTTGTCAATGGTATAGAAATGCATTGTTTGGTGGTGATCTCTAAACCCCAAGACTCTTATCCTCTTACTTACTCTTAGTTGCATTCTTTTGTTATTACTCAGTTTAATTTAGTTGCTCTCTGGTCTAATCAACCGACCAACCAATTGTTTGATCACTCGACCTACTAGCCCTAATAGCAATTCCACAACCTTGTCCGACCCTCACAATCCCTTGGGACGATCCCTACTCGCCCTAGCTATATTTATAGTGAAAGGTAGTAGTGGCTTCTATAAATGTAAAACTCTTGGCCCTCGCCTTAATGCACACTCTTTAAGCTTGATGGTGTAGGACGACGAGAACACCAGTTAATTATGACCAAGAAATTATTGATCTATAACAATGTTCGTGTTCTTGGCCTTTGTCATCGACACTGGCCAACTCCAAAGTTTCATTCATTATCGATCACAAAAATAATGGTTTAGCGACGAATAAGTCTCTGTCTCCATCGATATCTACAGCCAAGAAACTGGGTACGCACCATCTACCAATGTCTATTACTTTTATCAAATTTGTGGTTAATTCATACTTTGATAAATCCAATTCTCTTATGCTCTGTTACATATCTTGTATAAATATATATCCTATATATTTTATACTACACAGATGAGCACGAGTTAGATTATATCATAGTGAACAATAAATACCTAGTGGTTTGCAAATTTCGCCTACCGATCTCTAAGTATGTAATCTATGAATCGTAATCTCAAAAGTATTCTTATTCTTCCTAGACAATAAGATTGGTTGATTCTAAATACACATTTACTATTAATCTTTATTTGATAAGATAAATGTGAAGAGGGAGATCAGATTAAATCTATGAGAGAAAGTTCCAAATGCAATCAGTATAGCTATAGTCCTCTAACATATATATAGATATATTTGTATCAATTTGTATGTCTCTGCATTTCTCTCTTCTTGATGAAGTTGTTTACACACGTAGTGATAATGGTGTTTGAGAAATTCGTGTTATACGTCTTAAAACACTTTTGAGTTGTGAATCATTGCTCTTAGATTAAACAAATCCTGTGATTTGTTGAATATATATATATATATATCATGGTTTTCAAACCATACAATTATACTTCCGCAGCTTTGCAACAAAATTTAATTTTTGTTTAGGAAGATCTTCTAAATTTAAAATAAAAAAGCACCCAATGGTATTTGGGTTTAGTGGTTTGGGAGCACCAATTATTATTACATGGTCACATTCCCTATGTTTGGCTTAAAGATAATTTGGGTTTGGTGGTAGACCCATTTTGCATTCACCCACCATTTTATTTGATAATGTACATCTCACTGAAGATCTTTTTACAGAGACTGAAAAAAAAAAAAAAAAAAAAAAAAATTGTGCATCAAGTGTGACAGTTGTTTATATAACGTATATGTACGTGTATTCTTTTAGCTTCTATAAACTGTCTCGCCATTAATCTATACATATTTGTACATATATAGAATTGATCATATCACTACTTTTTATGATTTAACTAATTAGAGTGTGAACATTATTCTTACATGCATTTGATAATCCTCTTTAGCATTTAAAGATGCTTTATGACTGGAGCATATATAATTTAATGCGAGTGAGCATTTGCATGTTCTTGAGTACAGTAGTATGGTTTGAGATTCTCATATTCAACACAACACACGAGACTTTATGGCCATGCTGTATCCCAGCTTAGTTTCTTAAAACAGTAAGATTTTTGACAAAAAAAAAGAAGAAAAAGAAAAAATCATTTACTGCACATTATTTTCAACACATATAAACATTAATATAAGGTTGGTCCATCTTTGCTCACTTCTTAAGCACGACTCACCAGCACACTTTTGAAGCATAAAGTCTTCCAGGAAGCAGTACCTAGCGTACAATGCCATTTGACGAGGATATTATTGGCCAATCACTTTGAGACTCGATCAAAGGGGCGAGCTCAGAATTACTACGAACCTCCTTATTAAAGGGGCGAGCTGAATGAAGCTCATAATCGTTGTTCCCCGTATTAAAAGGGGTTGAAATAAGAGTGCCCCGTACTATAAGGGCCCGAGCTGAATGAAGCTCGTAATTGTCGTCCTCCGTATTAAAAGGGGTCGAAATCAAAATGCCCCGTACTATAAGGGCCCGAGCTGAATGAAGCTCGTAATTGTCGTCCTTCGTATTAAAAGGGGTCGAAATCAAAATGCCCCGTACTATAAGGGTCCGAGCTGAATGAAGCTCGGAATTGTCATTCCCTGTACTAAAAGGGATCAAGTCAATGTGTCCTGTATTAAAAGGCAAGAGGCCGACTACACCTCATTCCTTCATTAGAAGGACGAGAGACCGACTACACCTCATTCCTTCATGAAAAAGCGAGAGGCCGACTTCACCTCATTCCTTCATTAAAAGGAACGAGAAAATGACTACCCCCTCTACACAGAAGGGTGAGATAATTAAAGCTTCCTTCATTTACTAGAAAGACGAGACAATTACCTCTCGCATTAAAAGGGTCACCCTCATTAGGACTACACCTCTTTCCCTCGTAAAGGAAGGAAGGGTCAACTTCATTTTCTTCCCTTGGTAAATAGACTCTCTTATTAAAGGGTGAGCTCACAAAGCTCGAACAAATCTACTCCCTTATTAAAAGGGGCAAGAAAGTAATCATCAAGCATGCTTAGCTTGGAAGGACTTGGCATTCCCGACACTTGACAAGCAAGATTTCAGGAATGGGGGGCTACTGATACGGAATATTCTACTAGATAAGAATTCCAAGTGACATGGAAACTCAAAGGGCATGGATAAACTTAAGGAGATAAGGTGACTTTCTCATAAGGTAATTAAATGATAAGATTTGATTAATTCAAAGGTTGCACTAAAGATACAATTAACTAATCCCTTCTCTACCGGAAGAAAATGCGGAAACGACAACTTCAACTTTCTATAAAAGTGAGGCCAGTCAACATAAAAAGGTACGCCATAAATCCCATTCCATATGAAATCCTTTCTCGAATATTCAATGGTTAAGTACTAACTTGATCGTCGGAGTGCACCCGACCGGCACCACACCGATCATCACTTCTCTTATCTTGCAGGAATGGCCATTGGCTCCGGATCGTGCGGATTTTTGCATCAACACTTTTGAAATCCTAATTCTTGTGAGGAAAAAAAAAAAAAATTGCAAGTTCATTATTATTGCAGCCCTAAGAAAATAATAATTATTTCATTTATACATAGACATGTATAAACCATTACATGAATATAGGGAGAAGAGAGAGAAAATTGTACCAATGTCTCTCATATTTGATAGAAATGAATAAGATTTTCTTTGGAGACATTTTTTTTAAGATGGTATTTACAAGAAAAATAATTAAAATAGTAATGATATTATATATGTTAATATTTTTTTTATTGTAAATGTAAATGAAAATTTCTATAACTACTCAAAGTATAAATTTCTGAAGTACTTAATTTTGATCATGATAATCGTGTTTTGTCAAATCTTGTGAGATTTGTTTATTTAGAATTATTATTATTTTTTAATCTTTCATAAAGATAATAATGATATATCTGTGATAAAGTGTGATCAAAGTATTAAAAAAAAAAAAAACCACAAATTAAATTTTTGAAAAGTTGAAACCATTTCTAAAGAAAATTTGATTTTCTTTACACTACGTATCAATTTAGGTTGCACTTTTCTCATTTTTGAATTATACTTTTTCAATATATAAAGAGGATTTACATTATGTAAAAAGTTGTGCCACAATTATTTATAAGAAAATTAAATTTTAATTACATTTTAATATTTCTCCCAAATAAAAATTTCTAGCTACGCGCTTGACCGAACCAAAATTAACTCAAGATTAACATTAGCATAAACAAGTTAGAAAAATAATCTCAGATTATTAAACTCGAACGATAATTTCAAAACTTGAATTGAGTAGTAATTGGTTGAAGACGAGGACATAATAGTAATTATGCAGTTGCAGGTCTATATATTAAACAAAATAAAACCCCCCTTTTGGCTTGGAGAGAGGAGGAGAATATCAAGTTTCTTGCGAGAAAGGAAAAGAAAAACTCTATTTATTAGCTAGCTACGGTTCTTTTCAACTCGATTCATCATCGTCTAGGGTTAGAAAGTGGAGCTATTCTAGACTTCTGTTCCATTGTTCACTCTCTTCTCCCAGTTTCAGTGTCTTGTGTTCTAGGGTTTGTGTCTTGTATATTCAATGGCGGATCCGAACGCGAGCGGCAGCGGAACAACCCGAGAGGAGGCGTCCTTGAAGGTTCCGTCGAAGGACCCGAAGAAGAAGGATGACAAGAAAGAAGACGATCTGGTTAGTCTGTTTGGTTGCTGAGAAAACCCAGGAAAATAAAATAATTGTTGGGGTTTCATGACTTCCTATTGAATATGCCTAATTTGTTTGTTTTGGGTGGGCAGTCGGAGGAGGATTTGGCATTGAAGCAGCAATTGGAGTTGTATGTGGAGAGGGTTCAGGACTCCGATCCAGGGCTACAGAAGATGGCGCTCGAGAGTATGAGGTATGAGCGTCTTATATGATTTTTGTAAATTTAATGGTTAACTCTATATTATCAGAATTCTCTGCAATTTTAGTGTGTGTTGGTTTGATTTTGGTCTTTAAATCACTGGGTTGTGAAGAAAATTTCAAGTATAGATGCGTTTTGCTCAAGGCGTATGTATTTTTCGTATTAGAACAATTTTGAGTTGTAGTGGTATTGTATGCGTGTTTATAGGCTTTATTGGAGAATCACGTAGATGTGGGTTGAAATGAAAAATTAGAAGCATTGGAATTTCAGTCTTGTAGTTGAACGTGTATGCATTGCACCTCCATTTATAACGCCTTCGTATAAATTGGATGAGGGTTGCTTTGGGATGTTTTCGGACTAGAGATCCTGAAAAAGCTCATGTCTATTTCCTTCCCTTCAGTGTGACAATGATTACTCAAGTTATTTATGTTGCTGAATCCCATCAATGGGGTGCATCAGCTACCTAAAAACCAAATTCAGAATGTCAATCTTCTGGTGGTAGTGTTGTGTGACGGAGTTCTGTTATGAGACTAGCTGTGTTTCGGGTGAAATTGATGGTTCGTAACCCTTTTCAAGGGTCCGATACTCTTACACACCTTCAATTACATCAAAAGTTAGTTACATATCGAGTCTATTGACTTTTCCTTGAAGCTTAGAAGACCACAATTAAGGTGGGAAAACCATATAAATCTAGGCAGAGTAAACACATAACTTGCTGGAATCAGTTTCTATCTCATCTATTGAAATTCTAGTATTTAAATTTAATTGTAATCACTAATGACCACGTGCATTGCATTATCACTATATGTATATTTTTTCTGACCTAACTTTGGAAAGTCAAGTTTATATCAGGGCTATTGCCCATTTGGTGACTGTTGGGACGTTGATTATAAGACATTGTCATGTGTGTCACTTTCTGTCATATAATTAATAATTGTAATAATTAAGCCTCTTTCGAGAGGTAAAAATCAAGACAATATCTTCGTATAAAAAACGTGACCGATTTCAATCTGTCATCATTCTTTTTCAGTTATTGATTCTCATTTGTATGGTCAAGTAATATCTACGTATAAATTACTTCAATCAGCCATTCATTCAGTTTCTCGACTTAGGATTTTCATTTAAGTTCATGTTTCCATTAAATAAAACGTTCAGTTTGTACACATGCGAGTAAATGCCCAAAATCTGAACTACATATTTCAACTGCTAGTGAAGTCAATTTAATTATTAAATCTTTATTATCAGAATTCTCTGCAATTTTAGTGTGTTGGTTTGATTTTAGTCTTTAAATCACTAGGTTGTGAAGAAAATTTAAAGTATAGATGCGTTTTGCTCAAGGCGTATGTATTTTTTGTATTAGAACAATTTTGAGTTGTATTGGTATTGTTTGCGTGTTAATTGGCTTTATTGGAGAATCACGTAGATGTGGGTTGAAATGAAAATTTAGAAGCATTGGAATTTTAGTCTTGTAGTTGAATGTGTATGCATTGCACCTCAATTTATAACGCCTTCGTATAAATTGGATGAGGGTTGCTTTGGGATGTTTTCGGACTAGAGATCCTGAAAAAGCTCACATCTATTTCCTTCCCTTCAGTGTGACAATGATTACTCAAGTTATTTATGTTGCTGAATCCCATGAATGGGTTGCATCAGCTACCTAAAAAACAAATACAGAATGTCATTCTTCTGGTGGTAAGGTTGTGTGATGGAGTTCTGTTATGAGACTACCTGTGTTTTGGGTGAAATTGATGGTTCGTAACCCTTTTCAAGGGTCTGATACTCTTACACACCTTCAAGAACATCAAAAGTTAGTTCCGTATTGAGTCTATTGACTTTTCCTTGAAGCTTAGAAAACCACAATTAAGGTGGGAAAACCATATAAATCTAGGCAGAGTAAACACATAACTTGCTGGAATCAGTTTCTATCTCATCTATTGAAATCCTAGTATTTAAATTTAATTATAATCACTAATGACCACGTGCATTGCATGTGTCTTTTTACTAGTATAAAGAAAAAAGAGAAACACGAAAACAAACCAATGTTTCTATGATCATTCACATTCACACACTCTCTCTCGTATATGAATATATGCTTTGGCTTTTCATTAGGTCATTTGATTCTCTCTCTACGTCTGTATTAATTATGTCCCTTAAGCTAATGGAAAAGATAGTATGGGTTCGTTTTCTTATACTCTCTTTTTAAGACAGCTTGTCTAGCGGGACCCGCTTAATATTTAAGTTTGCTGGATTGTGTATGACGGTATCGAACCCTTAAAAAAATATTACGAACCATCTAATACGTGGTGTATAGATCGAAACGGAAAACCCCGACGATATTTCGGTTGATTCCCAGGCAATATATAAATTAATGACCATTATGCCCTCATAAGTATGAAAAGACTCACTTAGCCCTTATTGTTATCATTGCACCCAAACACCCTTATGCCCTTTTAATCCCCTTCAATTAAATAAAAGGGGAGATGAATGCACATGTTCTTGAGTTAGATGTAAAAAATATTTCTCAAAAGGTAAGCCAATTCAACTTTTTTATTACTCCTTAAATTACCAATAAACATGATTAATCATAAGAATCACAAATTGCTACTGCCGCATCAGTTATAATTGGAAGAAGTGGTCTCATGGACCCAGAGAAAAATCATACTCCATAATTATTTTCTTCACATTTAGGTTGAACCTTCTTTAATGCATTAGAAGCAATGACTCGTGAGTTAGATTGCATGAGTTTTGAATGACCAGAACATTTTTTTCCTTGCAGGCAAGAAATTCGTACCTCGACAAGCTCAATGACTTCAGTTCCGAAGCCATTGAAGTTTTTGCGCCCTCACTACGGTACGCTAAAAGCGTATTATGAAATGATGGCTGCAGATTCAGATTTAAAGGTATAAACTGTTCGTTTAGGTGCTGTCTGCTATCATTTGCATCCAATTATAACTCATCTGATTTAGATTCTTATTTTGTTGTAGAAACTCCTTGCTGACATACTTTCGGTGTTGGCCTTGACCATGTCAGCAGAAGGTGAAAGGGTATGTGAGATAACTTTGGAATTTAACTTCTGTTTTTGAATTTCTTTTTTTCTTAAGGCAAGGCAATGCATGGGGTGATTGGCTAATTTGACCACTGTTGGGCATATTATGTTGTGGGCATCTTTATTTTATTCTTTTATTATGTGATAATCAACATGCCTTTATGTATGCATTATAACATGCTTCTGTTATCCTCTGCATGATTTTCTAATAACACAATTTTTTGAGGTCTAATGTAGAAGTTTTTCTCGTGTTTGTCTAAATAGGTTATTCTGCTACCTTAGTGGGTCACATTTGCAGTTAAACTGATTTTTGTTTCATATGGCAATTATTTCAGGAGAGCTTAACATATCGATTGTTAGGTTCTGAAGGTGACATTGGTTCATGGGGTCATGAATATGTCAGGTGAGAATCATCTGTCTCTATACTGCCACTGACAGTTAAATTATTTATATGCTAATGTGTTACGTAATTGTTTGTGATAGGAACCTAGCTGGAGAAATTGCACAAGAGTATGCAAAGCGTCAGGTTAGGCTTTCTATTATTTAGAAATCTTATGATAACCTTTGTACATTGGGAACTGGAATAGGTTTTTGATCAACCCTCTATTGAATTTCGTTATTCAATTAGCAAAAAGGGTTCCGTTTTCATGTGCATTCCATACAAGTTTAAATGTTCATAATGTTTTTGTTTATATGACCAATTAGTCTGTCCATCTTTCTTTCCTCAAATACTTTTATGTCAATTTTACATCGTCGACATTTATGTCCATTGTGGGATCAGTGCTGTCGCATTCTAGTTATTCAATTGTAAAGAAATATAATTTTATTAAACTTTTCCTTTTTTCGGAATGGTAATGACAATCTCATTTATATATAATACAGGAGAGGTCTCTTTATGTCATTTTATTTGTAGTTTTAATTGTTAAGAACTTCTATTAAATATTTTCCCTTTATATGAACCATTGCAGGGCGAAGAAGCCCCAATAGATGATCTAATGGAGCTTGTGCAACAAATAGTTGCCTTCCATATGAAGGTATGACTCAGTTTAATTGGCAGTTGTCATATATTCAGAGAACTATTGGTTTTTGTTTTTAATTAATTAAAATTTTTCTGCATTGCAGCACAATGCTGAACCTGAGGCTGTAGATCTTTTGATGGAGGTATGACTTATTATGTTATTGTATGATTTGTATCTTCTTTCTCATCTGTGCATGAATGTACCATATGAAAATGATCTCTTGAATTATTTTAGGTTGAAGACCTTGATTTGTTACTGGAGTATGTTGACACGACCAATTTTAAAAGGACGTGCTTGTACCTAACTAGTGCAGCAAGGTAAGTAATATCTTATGGGCTAAATTGTAAATCTGTGGGGGAACTTGTGGATTTTGTTGATAGTTTGAGATTATGGTCTGCCGCTATTGGCTTTTTTTGTGTATTCTTGGGAGCGCTTGCCTCTTGAGCGCCTTCTAAAGAAATCAAAATTTTTTTGGGTGCATATAAGAAATTGTTAGTTAATTACCAAAAGCAGTGAACCTGGTAGCCATTCGCGTTGAGTAGTTAATTGGCATTCGGTTTTGTTTAACTTCTACAGATTCCATCTTGCATCTTGAAATGAGTTTCGTAGGCATTGAATCATTTGAGATAATTACTTTACTTGTTTAATTGATTTTTTATTTTTTTTAACAAAAAAATTTTAAAGTTTATAGGAAAGAGATCTATTTTATAAACAATTGTGTATTTCTAATACACATGTACCCAGATGCGTGGTAAGTGGATTGTAGAGAAGCTGATAAGGTGAGCATGCCTGTATTTCTCTTTTTGGAGCAATGTTATAGATATTTGCATAAGGCCGTGAGTTGTTTGGCAAGAGATTAAAAGGTTGAGATACTGTACGAGATTCTGCTATATGGTACTGCACCTTTTGTGGACATGTAAAGAAACCAACTCATTTACTTTTATGACCCTTTGTTTAGAAACAAAAGAATTAAGGTTTGTCATTTTCAGACGGTTTCTTTTTACTATTACTGCTCACTTACACATGGAATATGACCTTTGTAGAGTAGGCAATCTTGAAAGAGACCAAATTGCTGGTCATTTAGTTGATATATATCATGGTATTCTGGTGTCTTATAGTGTTTATTTCATTTGATGTCCGCATCTCTGCTACACAAAGTACATGCATGAACAAACATCCGTATTCACGCTGACATTTTACATTTCAAAATATTGCAGATATCTTGCTGGACCAGATGATATGCTAGTCCTAGATATTGCATACATGATCTATCTAAAATTTGAAGAATATCCAAGTGCACTTCAGATTGCATTAATCCTCGACAACATGCAGGTCTGCAATTTATTAGGAATATGGTCTTACTTTATTTATTTATTTTTATTTTTTTATATGAAAATTTGAACTTTGTGGTGCTATTTGATATGAAATTAATAGAAAGGTAAATTTTTTTTTTCTTTTTCCTTCCCGCATCCTTCTATATGTTGGTTCTAAAATTTCAATATACACCTTGGCAGTATGTAAAGCAGGTTTTTACATCTTCTGATGATCTGCTGCGAAAGAAGCAATTCTGTTACATCATAGCTCGGCATGTAAGTCTTGATTTTTAAGTTTAACTTCTTTTTTCATTATCATTGACTTTACATCGTTTTGCTGTGCAAAGAGGTCATTACCCAATGTTCTTCCCGTTTACGTGAGGTGCTGGTAAGGATAGATTTGAGTCGGACCTAATCTTGTGCATTTTTTTGCATAAAGTGGTTTTCCCATAAGAACCGCATTCTAATACTCATTACTCAAGTTTTAACATTTCCCCAAGCTTTTACTTATTGCTGCTTGCAGACTGGAGACAGGTCTACTCGTTTTGCTGCATCATTTCTTTAATTAGTAATGGATTACGCAGTTAAGAGTTCTAGTACGGATGGAAGGCGTAGTTTCCTTGATAAACCATTTATCCAGTTTGGTTTTTTACCTGAAAATAATATATACTTGTCTCTTTGTTGTCTTTTTCTCATGAACATACTATTCATGTTATTATTCTATAGAGGTCAGGTAAACTTGTTCACACCAATTAGTGGTATCTTTTTCCTAATTTTCTGAGCATGCTTTGCTTATTGTGTTTGCTTCTGATTCCTCTATAGAGTTTTTTCCATGGATTGGCTATTATCAGTTGTGCCCTTCTCTTTTTGTTAGATGGCTGATCGGATTTTGCTTATTATGAGATCAATAAAAAAAAAAAAAATATAATAACTATTAATTAATGAGTGGTGTAAATTGGAATTTAAACTGGTCTCCTGCCAGATGCCTGGGAATTGCAGTTTCATTTTTCTTTTCTTCCCATCAAGCATCAAGTGTACTTCCTTTTTTTTTTTTTTCCTGTTGAGAGGTCAATGATAAATTGTTTGTTTACTGAATTTCTTTCATGTAGGGTACAACATTTGAGCTTGATGAGGAGATGGCTGCAGATGATGAAGACAGGGAGGCATTGCAAGAAATCATCAATAACACTAAATTAAGTGAAGGCTATCTTACCCTTGCTCGTGATATAGAGGTTATGGAGTCCAAATCTCCCGAGGACATTTATAAGGTTGAACAAAGCTGTCCATATTTAGTTATTGATACTATTATTATTTCATGATGTGTGTTGCTATAAGTATTGCTATCATCTTTTTGTTCTGTGGCTGTTGCTTATGGTTGTTATTATGTTCCAGTCACAAACTATTTATAACTTCATTCCATTTTAATCAAATTTATGATGTACTCGCTTGTATTTGGCTAGGCACATTTGCTTGATGGCCGGGCTAGTGCTGGTGCAAGTGTTGATTCTGCCAGACAGAATTTAGCTGCTACATTTGTCAATGCATTTGTAAATGCTGGCTTCGGACAGGTAAAATTGTGTATTCCACGAGCACATATGATGTAGTGTCAGGGTGGGTTTTTGTAACATTGACTGCTTTCTGGTTGCAGGATAAGTTAATGACAGTCCCATCAGAAGCTTCAAGTGGTGGTTCTTCAGGCAACTGGCTTTTCAAAAATAAAGAACATGGGAAGGCCAGTGCTGCGGCAAGTCTGGTATGTAGTTCTTTACCATCAGTCTTATCTGTTGTGAATGAGCGTATTGTCAGCGGACTCTTATCATTATTCCTCATTGTAGGGTATGATCCTGCTTTGGGATGTTGATTCTGGACTTGCTCAAATTGACAAGTATTTCCACAGCAATGACAACCATGTCATTGCAGGTGCATTACTGGGAGTTGGAATTGTTAACTGCAGTATTAAGAATGATTGTGATCCTGTGAGTTTCATTTAGTATTTTTAGCATGCATAAGAACATCTTTATGCCTATTGATCTGTAGTTTGCTAACGGAGTTTCTTCTTCAGGCATTGGCACTTCTTGCTGATTACATAGACAAAGAAGATTGTTCTATCAGAATTGGTGCCATAATGGGCCTGGGCCTTGCGTATGCAGGTGCTCAGAATGAGCAGGTGGATTCCTTGATTTTTGCCTGCTGATTATTTTGTAGTTCATGGCAATAATATAGTGTGTGGCTGGCATGAGCTACCGTTTTTTTGTTCTTTAATGGAATCCTTCTATCTATTCAACATCGTGATTGCAGTGACTGCAATCACATATATTGTATTCACTGCAACCATAGATTGTTGAACATATATTGGGATTTGAGAAATAAAAGGGCCTGCAAAGGTTACTGACTTGGCTGATTGTTTCATTTTCTTTAAAATATGTTTTGTTCCTCTTGAAGCCAACTAATCTATATTCATTTGCCAGATCCGCAGTAAATTGACTCCTATCCTTGGAGATGCAAAATCACCCCTTGATGTGATTGCATTCACTGCAATTTCATTGGGCTTGGTATATGTGGGTTCCTGTAATGAAGAGGTTGCTCAGGCAATTATATTTGCATTAATGGACCGAAGTGAGTCAGAATTAGGAGAGCCCCTAACACGACTTTTGCCTCTTGGTCTTGGTCTTTTATACCTTGGCAAGCAGGTAACATTAAATTACAAGCTGCCGTTTCCTGTTTTCAGAATTTACTATGGGTTTTGGTTAGAGTTAATTGAGAATAAGTAATGCTATCAACCTCATTACAAGAGCCATGAGCTCTCTATATTTTACCATTGGATTGAAACTGTTATTTGAAATATGTGGGAATTATTTAATGCATCCTTCAATCCAGTGGTTAAATATGCAGAGCTCATGGCTCTTGTCACGCGGGAGCTCTCTTAATAGCATTACTCATTGTGAATTATGTTCTCTCTGAGTTTTCTTGTTTCATTTTTCGTGGTATATTTGGAAAATTTTCATCCTAATGTGTAAACATGATACTTACAAGCTATATTATTCTAATTATTTGTGGATTCCTTTTTGATGTCTAACAGGAAAGTGTAGAGGCCACAGCAGAAGTTTCAAAGACATTTAATGAAAAAATCAGAAAATATTGTGATATGACCTTGCTTTCTTGTGCCTATGCTGGAACAGGGAATGTGCTTAAGGTATTTTAATAGCCAATATTGCACTTGGAGATTCCTGTTACATACATGAAGTATCTAACTGCCTCTTTATCTCAAAGGTCCAACACCTTCTAGGTCAGTGTGGGCAACATCTTGAGAAGGATGCAACCCATCAGGGAGCAGCTGTACTTGGACTTGCTATGGTAGCAATGGCTGAAGACCTGGGCCTTGAGATGGAAATTCGCTCAATGGAGCATCTGTTACAGTATGGTGAGCAGAATATCAGAAGGGCAGTTCCTTTGGCCCTTGGTCTCCTATGCATTTCAAATCCTAAGGTAGTCAATCATACTTCCAATATTGGTGAATTGAACTGCAGTTACTAAGATTTATGCCGTCTCCTTCTATAATTAGGCCTTGCTAACCTATTTGTTGATTGGGTGTTCTGACCAGGTCAATGTTATGGACACGTTAAGTAGACTTAGTCATGATACTGATACAGAAGTAGCAATGGTATGGTGATGCAAGAACTAGCTTTATATCTCGTTGTTTTCCTCGATGTCATTTTATTATTTTCAATAGAATTTACTTGCTTTATAGCCTAAAGCCTTAAAATTTGTTTTTATTGTACAGGCTGCCATAATCTCCTTGGGGTTGATAGGTGCAGGAACCAACAATGCTAGAATAGCTGGCATGCTCCGTAACCTTTCGAGTTATTACTACAAGGAAGCTAGCCTTCTCTTCTGTGTAAGACTTCTCTTAAGCTACTTCATTTAGAAATTTCTCTTAAGCCACTTACAGACACATACACAAATGTCTTGTCTTCATCTCAAGGTTCTTATACAAACATAATGATCTCCAATTGCTGTTTCTGCAGGTACGAATTGCTCAAGGCCTCGTACATCTGGGGAAGGGCTTGTTGACTCTTTCTCCATACCATTCTGAACGCTTCTTATTATGCCCGTAAGTGTGTCTCTGTCTAGAAAAATTAGACTGGATTTTGCCTTGTAACCTTAGGCTTGTCGTACATGCAAGTTCATTTGGAGATGAATGAGTCGCAGGGTGATGCGCCCAGAGGATATGCATTCATATTGAAATAACTTGCTAATGAAGAATTTCATGGAGTTTCAGAGCATGCAAACTAAGTGCTATTTGAAACATAGTTGTTAAAGGTGTGCCTAGGCTCCAAAAAAGGCCCAGGCTCGTTAAGGTTCTGCTAGAGCACTCCAACCTAGTATAGGCTAGGTGTTACAATGGGAGTCTTGTCCCACATCGGATCCAAATGGGACGTGAAATGGGTATATATGAGTTGGGTGTTATTCCCACCTAAAAGCTTAAGTTTTGGTTCGGATCGCAAAGCACCCGGCCTATTACAGTTGGTATCAGAGCTAGTGATCCGGTGTCACGTCAAGTGCCTGACCCGGAAGGTGTTCGGGTGAGGGGTAGGCAGGGTGACCCGATCGTAACGAGGGCGATGCGAGTTTGGGTGGGGAAGAATGTTACAAAGGGAGTCTTGTCCCACATTGGACCCGGATGGGAAGTGAAATAGGTATATAATTATATATGGGTTGGGTGTTAGCTCCACTTAATAGCTTAAGCGGATCAAGAAGCACTCGGCTCGTTACACTAGGCCCTTTCAATCAGGCTCACATATAGCCCTCAGGCTCACGATTTTTGTTAGGCTCTAGGCTCAAAAAAGACGTCCCTTGTATTTTTTAATCACTTCTTTATATAATTTATTTATTTATTTTTAATTTAATGACTATTAAATTAAAATGTTCTGTATCACATATCGTATTGTTTAACCTTAAGAAATATTTGACAAAATTCATAAATTTATCACTGCGTACATTATTAATAGTAGTTATTGCTTGATTATGAATGTATATAATAATATATATTTAGTTATTGCTTGATTCTGAATGTATATAATAATATATATTTAAATATGAAATATTATTTACACGCGCGCCTTATATTATTCCTTGCCCTTAGGCTCCAGAAGGCCTTTGACGCTTTAGTTTGCCTTGAGCCTTTAACAACTATGATTTGAAACAGAACAGAATGATTTCATTTCTATGGAATGTCCGGAAACTCCTAAACAAACACCCAAAATGTCTGATATGCAAATGAAATGTATGGTCAATGCTCTTAAAGAATTATAATATAGGTTTGGATGTGGTCAAATGAGCATCGCTTATGTAGGTTTGGATATGATTCTAATTTGAGCTGAATGGTAGATAAAAAGTTCAATGATTGTTTTGTTTTGGCATGATATTTGAAACTAGTGTAAAGTAGGCTGATTTATTCCTTTTGTCCGAAGTGTTGGATTTTGTGTCACATTAATTTGATATCTGTTAGATATGTTAAAAGTTATTTTGATTGGTTTCAATAGAAAAAAGTTATTATGCTCATAGTAAATTTATAATGGTAATAGAAGTAGATGAACCTCTATCCTTCCGAGCCTACACTAGCACATGCTTTTGAATTTACTTCTATATTGTTTATGTTTTCAGCATGTTATCTATGTATTTTAAGAATATCCTATGTATAGTTTGTATTTAGTCCTTTAATTTGTAGGATTTATCGTTTTCAATGTGATCCTGCAAACCAATTCTATGGACCTCTATTCGATCTTGACATAGGAGGATCCGATCCTAACAACATTTGATAAAGAAATAAAATTATTTTGTCCCAGCAGTATCCTTTAGTAATTTACATTAATATGTAAAAAATTCCATGACACTAGATATATATATATATATATATATATATATATATATATATATATTTGTCATCTCCACCATATTCTAGCAACATTTGATAAAAAAATAAAATTATTTTGTCCCAGCAGTATCCTTTTGTAATTTACGTCAATATCCTTTTGTATTTTTTGGTTATCTCACCTTCTATTAATTTTCTTCTTTTGTCCAGGACGGCACTGGCTGGAATAGTGACCCTGTTGCATGCATGTCTTGACATGAAAGCCATCATACTGACGAAATACCATTATGTCCTTTACTTCCTGGTTTTGGCAATGCAGGTTCATCCTCCTTTTGAAACAGCCCCTCATCATTCCGTCTTTTTTTTTTTCGGTTGGGTGAATCATATATTCCTTCTCATTGTGTATTTTGTTCCCTTCCAGCCAAGAATGCTGTTGACAGTGGATGAAAATCTGAAACCTTTGTCAGTACCTGTTCGGGTAGGCCAAGCGGTTGATGTTGTTGGTCAAGCAGGTCGACCCAAGACCATTACTGGTTTCCAGACTCACTCAACCCCAGTACTTCTGGCTGCTGGGGATAGAGCAGAACTTGCAACAGAAAAGTACTAAACTTTTCCTTTGAAATTTGGTTTAAATTCATATTTTTACATGCACGTGCATACTAAATTCCACTGTTTCTGCAGGTATGTTCCCCTTTCTCCTATTTTGGAGGGCTTTGTAATTTTGAAAGAGAACCCAGACTACAGAGACGAGCAATAGGTGGATCTACTTTGATTCCAATTCCAACCCGGTCAAGTAAAATTTGATTCCAATAGTTACTCAGGCCCTGTAAAATTTAATATCTTTATTTGGGATGGAATATTGGATTTGAATTTGTATTCAGGCACCCCCTTCCTTCTCTTTTGTTAAACCAAATTTTCAGAGCGCAATCTGGTTTGCCAGTTTTGGTTGCTTTTATACAATGAATCAAAAGCAGTGTACCGTTTTAGCATGCTACATTCTGACGGACTGTTTTGCTTTTCATATGTCATGTTACTGCCTAAAATGAGCTTTTACAAGTATTTATGTTAAGATTTATTTACTTTCAACATCCATTCGGATGTCTGCCCGGTCACGATGTCTAGCGCATCTGGCTGAGAGCTTGAGCATGAGCAATCTTTAGGATCTGGAAAGGGGAATTCTCAGACGAGGGAAGTCTGTGCATAGTATCCTATATTTTTGGCCCTTCCATTTTGTTCGAACCATATCAAGGATGCCCCCGACCTATAATGTGGTTGATAAGTGTCTATCCCAAGTAGCATAATTCTTGCAGGATGACGTGTGCAAACCTTGTGGATGATTTTGCTTTTGAACCTAAGTTCTTGCTACACTACAACTTACAAGCACTACCCAAGCCTAGTTGATCCCATTAATTGGCTATGGCTTGTGCACAAGTTTAATTTATAAAATGCAATTCTTGTATTAAAAGTATTCTATCAAGTTGTTTGTGTCTTCATTCCATCCACTTAATTACCAAATTTAACCACTAGTTGTAATAAATAACTCGCAAAGCCAAAAATAATTCAGACATTCTGAATTGCCTATGTCCAAGATGTCAAGGAAATCCTCAACCTATCAGTCGGCACTGCCATATTGTCGAGCCAACCCTAGCGGATCCGAACTCCCAATTTGGTCGAGCCAATCCTCTGCTACTAGCGGATCCGAACTCCCAACAAATCGGTCAAGACCCTCTCAACCAAACTCTAAAATATGTCATTTTATAGATTTGATCTCACATTAAACATTGGGGCCAAATTAGAGGCGAATAGAAGGGCCATTGATCATGTGTACTTTGCCAAAAAAAAAAAAAAATATTTCATTTGTACTAAATTAATGATGTGACACAATGCTATTCACTATTCACTAAATAACAAATCGAAAAATATAAAAAAATAGTTTTTTTCAATTCTCATGGTATTCCTCAAATATCACAAGTGGGTGGGTTATTGGGCAAATTAAAGAAGACAGAGCAGTATGAGAAAAAAAGTGTGTGGCCATATTTCTAGTACTGTACTATTTAATTTTGGGTTACAAGTATCTACAATTGGATTAGGTTATGATTTTCCTTTCATCCAAACACCCTTCTATTCTTCTAGGGTTTAGACTGTTTACTGTTTAGTCCATCTTCATTTTCACTAATTCTCAAAACCCTTCACTGACCATCAAACTTCTCTCCCCTCTCCAAATCAAAACATCCAATTCTCCCCATTCTCCACTCAAAAATGGCAGCCGTCGCCGCCGCCAGATCCGTTTTCCGATCATCCTCCTTCCGAAACGCCGCCGCCAGGCTCGGCTCTGAAGCCAAAGCCGCTCGCTCCCCATTTCGTATTCCAAGCAGAAAACCTCTCTCTCATCGAATCTTCAGGTAACTAACCACAACCAACTTACCTATATATGTGTGTGTTGTGTGTGTAGTAGTTACAAATACAAGAATATGTAAAGATGGTTTTGCTTTTGAAGATGTCCAGCTGAAATGAGCGCTTGTTTGGAATCGATGCAACCGTTCCACACTGCAACTGCTTCGGCATTGATGACTTCGATGCTCTCAATCTCTCGCTGCGGTTATGGATGGCTTCCCGAAGGTTAATTGCTATAAAAAATCTCTGTTTCTTTCTGAATGATGTTTGATAATTTAAGATTTGATGATTTATGGTTTTATGCTAGCTGATATGTTTTGTTTAATTGGATTGGTACTTACTTAATGATCAGTTGGTGTTAATCTGAGTTAGTATAATAATATAGGTACGACATTTATATTAAAGAATCAATGAAATATTGTTTTTGCTATATTGTTTTTATGCTAGTTTTCTTAGTGGTTGATCAATTTGAAGGAGTGCTAATACTGTTATGATGGCGAAATTATGGTCTAGGTGAGAAATACTACCACATGATATTGCATTTCCTGTAATATAGATGTGAGACTCATATGAATTTCTTGATTGAAAACTACGGCATCAATTTATGCAGAGTGATGACATTATTTGGCTGTTGGGTGAGCTTTTTTCATTTATTAATTACTTGTTTGTGTCACTTTAAGAAGAGTTGAGCGAGTGGTTTCCATGTAGCATGATTTCGAGAATGGTGAATAAGTTTTTTGGACCGTGTATCTTCAACGAAGTTTTGACGTTTTTATTCGATATCCAGAATTCCACCATTCAGGCTTTAAAGGAGAGAAAAGGATTTGGGGTATTTTTAATTAGATGATCTAAGAATTAGTGTCTAAAGTTGATGTTGTTGATACCTTAATGGGATGGGAATGCTCTCTGTTCAAAGAATTTAGGGCAAATAGCCCTATATTCTTATTAGTGATGTTTTCTTGGTATTCCTGAAGAATAAGGCAGCTGTTGAGTTTATATCTTGCAATGGGTGGACATCTGACCGAGCTTATTAGCTTGCAGCTTTTCTTTATCAAACTTAAATTCAGTAGCTAATAACTTTTTCTGCTTATTCTCACATTCCAGAGACTATTTGTTTGAAGTGGACTGAGTTAATAAATGTTTTCTCAATCTATAGCATAGCAGTTTGTAAACATTTTTGTTCATGCAGTCCTTTCTTCTCCTCTGTCTTCTTCTCCCCATTGACCATAGTGGATTTTGTGAGATTTGTTGTCTTTCCTATGTAGAATGTTAGTTTCTTTATGCTCAACTAAGTGGTGGTTTTTGCTTGATAGGTTGCCTAACCAATGGATTTTTCGTTCTTGATTTAGGTATCTAGCAGTAGGAACCTTCTTGATGTCCTTTTCCTCTTGATTTCTGGTGAGTTGGTATTTGCTGGATGTCGTCTTAAAGGCATTAGAAGTGAATTGAATGTTTAAAAAATTTAAGAGCTTCTAGCATAAGTGGAAGTTATTTTAATCCCAGGATATAGAGATGTTAGGTTCTAGTCAAGGTAAACAGCGGTTTCCCTAATTTCTTTTTCTTTTTTTCCTAGTTGGTATTCACACACACTTGTCTCTTCTGAGACTTGATCCCCTTACCTCCGATACCGCTAGGCCACTGGCCTGTTGGTTGGTTTCCCTAATTTCAATAGCATAAAATCATGCCCCCATATTTTCACTACTTCTTTTTCTCTTTTGTATTGTTTTTTATTATTTAATAACGGAGGGTGTCCCCATCCCCTTTGGGGGGCAGGATTATTGCCTTTGGATATGTGCAACCTGTCCTACACTGTGGATATCAAGTAAACCTAAATGAGGTTTTTAACGCCCCAGGAATTGACACAGGACCTCTGGCTTTATACCAACTCAGCTACCCTGTGAGGGTTACTGTTGTTCTTATTTTCCATCTTAAAGATAAGTTAGTTTTCCATACTCTTATCTTGTTTTTCGATAAAGGAGTCCATACTTCTTCTTTTTCTGTTGTAGGCCTTGACGAGACTAGATGAAGATGGAGAAGCAAAGATCGAATGACTTGGATTTCTTTATGTTTCGATGCTTTCAAATAAGTAGGAAATGGTTGCTTCAAAATATTAGGCTTGTTGGACATATCTCAAGCTTAATGATGAAATATCAGTTTTTGAGATGTAAATTGACAGCTTTGACAGCAACAACCTTTTTTGTATGATATGTTAAAGTGATTTATTACTTAATTTCTTACAGTAATTTTGTGCTTGTGCTAGCATGCACGTTATTCTCTAGATTTCTCTCTGCATTCCTTTCGGTATCGCTCTAGGGTGTGCAAATTGATTGAAATTCTCTTCTATAGAATTTCGTCATATTCCTGTACTCATCTACCAGATTGTGAGTCTTTGACTTAAGAGAATAGAAAATGGAACCGTATATCATATTCTTGTCACTTGGTTGTGGTGGGCATTTTATTGAAAGATAGAATGTATCTGGTATTTTATAAATAACTAGTTAACCAATCTGATCACGTGTAAAACTTAATGATTTGTGTGGTTGATACATATGATATATATTTTTGATTTGGTTATGAGTGATTTTACAAGATTAAAAGATAAAAGTTTATCTGGTATTCTATAGATGCCCTGTTTAAACTAGACCATCACTAGTGAAACTTACTTATTATCTTTATTCATCAGCTTGCAATGATGATGTGTGATGAGAGTTCAGAGGATACAGGCAAAGTTTTTAGGTACAAATTTCTACATTCTAACTGACAGCGATCCGCGGAAGAACCAAGTTGGATATCCCGAGATTCCAAACCTAGACGCCCTCCTAGATTTTTGTTGTTTTATTTCAGTGTTTGTGGATATCTATATTTATTTGATCTTTGATGCTTAAAATGTAGGCAGACAATCGACACTAGGGCAAAATGTGTTTATGATTTTTTAGTTAAGTTGATTCGGTTTTTGTTTTATACGTTTAGTATCAAAATTTATATGATCATTAAGATACCATGCTAATGTATTTGCATATCAATCAGCTTGCAATGATGATGTATGATGAATGTCCAAAGGGTTCTGGCAAAGTTTTTATTCAAAATCTGTAGATTGATGAGCTGGAAATTTTGGGTGAGATGCCTATATTAGTCAGTTCCAATCTGGGATGCCTCTTTTTTTTCTTTTCTTTTCTTTTTTTTTTTTCAGTGTTGTTGGCTTAGTCCAGGAGTCATAAATAATTTATGTAAATAAATGCAAAATCTTTTGTTCAGTATTTATGGAGTTGTTATTATTTTTGGCCTGATGATCATGACTCAAATGTCGCTGAAGTTTATATGTGGAGCTTGATTATATGTTATTTTCATCGTAGTGCATGTAACAATGAGAATGCCTTGTTGATGCATGTGATGAATGGTTATTTTAGACCACTCGCTGCCTTCGTGGTCGTGGCTGTTGTTGCCATTGTTTTGTATCACAGAAACCCTAACCCTGAATAAAAACGAATGGCATCAGGGTTTTGGGTTTATTTTTGATTTGTTCTCTCACATAATCAATGTATTGGGGGATCATGTTGGAGTTTTTATATTGACGTAAACCTTTGGTACATCAAATTTTTTAATTTTTTTAGATGTGGTTTCAAAATCAACTTGGCAAAACATAATTTGAAAGAAATGTTCAGGATAATTAGTTATTTAATTTATAGTTCTAATTTCAAAGTAATTCGGGTTATTTTCAAAGCAATGAACAGAAGGAGGAAGTTGATACAGAGATCGAGAGAATAGCATATTGTGTGTATAGGCCCAAAAAGAAGGTCATGGAAGAAAACAAGGCCAAGGAAGTAAGGTAATGGGTTGGGCTTTGTTAGGCCCAAAAAGGTCTTCGTCAAGCTTAGATTTGTTAAGACAATTCCTTTTACACATACATACATATATATATATCATAATTTTTTATTTTTTAAGGCAAAGTTTTTTACACTTTTCCTTGATATGTATAAGTAAACGAAAACAAACTCTCTTTATTCCTTCAAAGTTTTTTTTTTTAAAACTAAATTTTGAAGGTTATGATTTTATAAATTTGTTAATAATGTGATATCATAATTATTTAAAACTAAAATATATCATAATGTTTACAAAATTTTATTTACAACTTGAAGTTAAAACAAATGAATGAAAACTGAATTAAAGTCAGCAAACATCCATTTCTGCTTCAAGCAGTTGCAGCAGAGCAAATATGAGAGAGAGTCTAGAGAGGGAGAAAGAGAGAGAGCAGCAGCATTTGCTGCTCTTACTGTGAAGCACATTGAAAACCCAGCTGGAGAGAAGGGGATGGGTTGCGTCTCATGTTTGGGGAGAGCAATAGATAGTTTTCAAAATTTAACCTCACCTAGCTACAATTCTTAGATACTACTTTACTCATATTCTTGTCTAAAGCTGTCAATCCTCTAAGCTCTACTCACCCTAATCTCATCTCTAAATTGTACCATTACACTTACAAAATGACACATCCTTATATAGTCGTAGTCCTCTTTAATAGACGGTTAGGATGATGCATTATAATTAATGATGCTAGAACTATCCATTTAACTATCTAAATATTTACAAATTCTATTATAATAAATGATTCATATCTACTCTCTAGAACCATCCATTTAACTATCTAAATATTTACAAGTTCTATAAAACTCTTACACTTTAAGAATATTGTTCAATCTACTTATTCTTTCTACAGTGCTGTGATGTTGCCCACTGTGGTGGTGGTGTTCTATAAAACTCTTACACTTTTAGAATATTGTTCAATCTACTTATTCTTTCTACAGTGCTGTGATGTTGCCCACTGTGGTGTTGTTTTTCTTATTTTCTTCATTTCTTCTCTGTTCTTGATATGGGTTTGCTTTCAAATACCAAAATATTATGAATTTGTCAATTTAAAATTTTATTTTATTCTTGATAGGTAACGTTAACAGTTCATATTTATATATATATATATATTCAAATAGTGTTCCTTTCACAATGTTTACGTTATCCAAACATGGTAAAGCAATCAAAATTCCTAATACTTTGTTGCCTTGCACTAAATTTGTTATAGAAGATACTCCAATCTAACATAAAAAAGATATCTTAGTAGGAATATTCAAGATTGTAAATGCATATGATATAATTCAAAATTTGGTTCATATTGCGTTTGAGAGCTTTGAATTGGTGACTCGATTTAGAATTGAAACAAATTTAGTTTAAAATTTTAACTAAATATCTTTTAAATCCAAATCTAAAATTTCCGAACATAACTATCCGTATGTGCTATGTGCATGTTTGACTGTGCTAGGTTTAGGGTTATGAATGTTTGACTGTACGTGCTTTGTGCATTTATATGTTTCGAGTTGCTTGAAGATTTTAGAGAGAGAGAGAGAGAGTGAGTGAGTGGTGACACAGAGAAAATGGTACATAAAGGAATATTTATCTTCTAAAATGGTTATTTTAGTCTTTGTCCCAATTCATTCATCAATTAACTAAAATAATATTAAGAAAATAAGAACATAATGGCAATCTTATAACTTCTGTTTCAACTTGTGTCAATGCTGATTTGAGGGTGATGGATGTCTGCAAAATAGCTAGATTTGCGAACACTACAACAAGGTGCATCTACATCCTTGACGATTGGTATAACAAAATGAGAGTAAAATAGATTGTAAATCTTATTTTCATTTTTGGGTCAGAAGAAAAAAAAAAAAAAAAAAAAAAAAACTTAATTATGTGCAAAAAAAACCATTTTAAAAGAACTACTTTTGCAAAGTAATCCTAACTACTCATCAGCCTTGTTTGTACAGTTTTCATTTGGGGTGCACCTTGGGTTGGGTAACCCGAACCCAACCTGAGCCCAGCCCGATCTTTTATGGGTTTGGATAATCATTTTTACAATTAGGGTTGAGTTTGGGTTGAAAAATCTCAACCCGAATTTATTTAGGGTTGGGCTTGGGTTGAAGTGATAATAACCCGAGTCAACCCGAACTCGAATTCTATATTATTTATATATATATATATTTTACTTTTAAATACATTAAATATAATATTTAAATTATGAATACTTTTTTTCTTTTCAACTTCTTGTATGTTAACATTTAGGAGAATTAATTTTCTAAAAATTTGTTTGCAATTCATTAAAATTCTACAAAAAGTCTTTAAACTTTTCTTATTTAAGAGTAATTTAATCTAAAACTAATTCAAGATCATATTAAATTTTTGGTATAAGGATTAACCATATGAGTAACCTGAATTAACTCCAAATTTTTACCCGGAATCTAAGCCCGAGTTGCAAGCCCGAATTTAAAAATAGAAGGATGGGTTGGGCTTGGGTTGAGTAGTTAAGGTTGAAAATAAGGTTAAGATTGGGCTTGGGTTTAGCATTTCATATGGCAAGTTGGGCTCAAGTTATACCTTAAACCTGCCTAACCCGCCAAAGTTGCAGCCCTAGCTTTCCATTCATGATATCATTCTTAAAAATAAAACAAATATTCCCACTAATTTGCATTAACATATTTCAAGGGTTTTTCGCATTTTGCCCAATATGTAACAGATTATAGACAAAAAAAAAAAAAAAAAAGGCCCTGAATGCAGGGAATGAATATCCAAACTCATCCAAACTTGTGGCATAATTGAAACAGTAAACTTCATAAAGAATGATATTGCCTGGTGATGAAAAAAATAAAAAATTTATATTGATATCATTGGTTAATCAAATTATCTCAGATGAACTGACATTACAAGAAAAATGACTTTTTACCACGGTTTTGAACCGTGGTAAAAACAGCCGTGGTAGTAAAGTAGACTTTCTACCACAGTTCTGCACCGTGGTAGAAAGTTTATTTTCTACTACGGTTCCCCACTGTGGTAGAAAGTCTTCTTTCTAGCACGGTTATACACCATGGTAGAAAGTCTATTTTTTACCACGATGCAGAACCATGGTTAAAAGTGTTATATAATTTTTTTTTTAAAAATAGTTTACAGCCTCCTATGAGGCCTTTTTTTTGCCCTACTACTAGCTTTGCAAAGACCCGATAAGCAAACCCTATAAATAAAAAATAGCATCATAACCAAAATAACTTACAAGTGCCAATAACATCATATTTATATAACCAATTCCAAATCATGTTTTTATACAAAAATATATACAAATTTCTAAGAAGTACATGATCCATACCTTATATCTTTACTTAACCAAAATAAAACAAAAATTCTTCATATCTTCCTTCTCTGTCTTAGTCTCTCTCTTCCATATATGCAACTTCTTCATGAGCCATACAAAAAATATAACGGCAATAAAAAAAGTAACGGGAACCGCAATCCCTCAATTCTAGTTTTGACCTATAAAATGTAATAGTTAAAGTAAGAGAATGTAAAACAGGTTGTAAAGTTGCTAAAATTATATATGTACGCACGCGATTTTAATTTTATAAGAACACAACTTAGTGAAATATGTCTGCACCTAAAGAAACCACAAATTCATATCATAATGTGGCCACAACTCACCCAAAAACTCAATTTTGGTAAGAATAGTTGCATCACTTGAAGCATTCTTGAAAATTGTATCAATTTAATTGAAGTTGAAGTCACATGTAATAAAAAACTATGGAATCGTTTCACGTCCTCGGCAGTTCTCATGAACCCCTTATTTATTCAGTTCCCATATTTAATGTGTCAATGCATGTGAACATGTGGCAGCTCATTGATATTTTGCTATGCCTGCACTGCTTTGTTTTGCATGAGTTATGCAACGTTTTACTACTGACCTTTTTCTTTCAATGAATAGTCCTGGTCAAGCAGTGTTGAAGGAGGAAGCAAGTGGTTGGTTAACAAAATCAAAGGTTGGTTTTGTTTTTGGATAATCTGTCACACCCTTCCCTTTCTATGACTTTGGATGTTAAATTGATATATCATATGCTAGTATGTATTTTTTTTTTTTTAAATCATCACTTGTTACTCACTGTCTTGGTAATTGGTGATCATAAGCTTTTTGGTCCTCTTATAGTTTGCTAGAAATTGACCAATGTTTATTGGCAGCATATTATAGCAAGCTTATGAATGCAGCTATTTATTTTCCTCAAATTGTACCATTATCACTCCCTTTAAACTCAAACTAGACTTTCTCAGATTTTTCTCAACCATGGAGACCATAATCCCATAGACTTGTGTTTTTAAGAGTTAGACTTGCACCAGATACATTGAATATGCACTCAGATATGAAATTAAAATGAAAGACAGAAAGTTGAAATCTGCGACATTTGGTGAAAAAAATATAAAAATTTAGCATTAAACACAGAAAAATTAACGTAGGTTGAGGATTATGTTTGCTTACAATGCGTTGTTCAGGTGTGGTCCCTCGGTCAACTGCAGCAGCTGGTGTATTGGGTGGCAAACCGTGGTGTATCAACTTTTGCGCAAGAGAAGGGAGAGTTGACAAACCTATATGAACAACCAAAGTTGAATCAGAGTCCACTGCATTTTCTGCAACAAACAGGCACCAGCATTTCTGCAACAACAGGCACAGATACATTAAATATGAACAGACATCGAAATTGAAATCTAGAAATTAGCAGAAAAGAAATCTAACATTTGCTTGAAAAACCCATCTAGAAATCCAATAGCTATTTGCAACACCATGGTGGGTTAAAGGGATCCCCAGTTCTTGCTGCTATTCCTGAAGCCCTATTGCAACAGGTGGGTAAGGGATCTATCCTGAAGCGGCAGTGATACCTGCAAAGCATTGAGGATATGAATTATATAAATACCTCCCCAAGGCTAACCACATGGAATCAGGTATGTGCATCGAGAGTGGATGTGTATCTAAGTGTCAAACCTCCTCAATACTAAGTCTCACAATACAAGGACTAGGGTCTAAATGTGTTGCAAAGTTGGGTACCATTACATAAAGACATCCTAAATATTTGAATAAATTATATACTATGTAATACTATAATATATTATGTTCTTTAAGGATAAACTTAGTTAAAACTTAAATGGATGAATATAGATGAAGAAAGGGAATTCCACTTGTCTCAAAAATATGAAACATTCTCCCACATCAAATTTGAGTTTTTTCTTCTTACATCACCACACATATAAGTTAAGAAAAAGGGCATCCCCTGTCTAATTGGACATTGTGTCAACACATGCTCTATGGCCATATCCATACATGTGCAAAATCGTATTGACACAGGTACAATGAAAGGTACAAGAGATTCCATGTAATTAAGAAAAGTAATTTAACAAAAGAAACAACACAAAATCAGCCAGAAGAAACAAGAGATTCTGGTTTGTCTGGTGTGGTGTTCATTATCATCAGTACGTTCTTTCAATGGAGGAGGCTGTTATATATATTCCTAACGTATGTAACTTTTTGAGTGCTTAATTTCTCTGACAACTCACCCCATTAATAAAATGAAGTACTGATACAAATTAATTAAACAAATCTGTCTAACTTACTTACACCAATTAAACTAAAATTAAGCACTCAATAAATTTAAGAGGGAGATAATATTTGCACACCTGTTCCAGTAATAACTCGACCTTCTCTCAGTATAATGTGAAAGATCTTCACCTATTTTTCTTCCTTTCTTTTTTCCCCCTTCTCATCTCCTCTTCTCTCTCCTATTTTATTTTTCTCAGGCCTCTTATCTCTCCTATTTTATTTTTCTCAGGCCTCTTCTCTCTCCTATATATATATATTTTTCATTCTCTCACACCACTTTTTATTTCTTCAGACTTGTTAACTATTCCTTTTATGCACATTCATTTTCTTCAAAATTTCTTCCCAATTTTTAACTTCATTTTTAAATGTGCTTGAATCAAAATTGGCCATCATATTTAAACTATCTTAAGGGAGAAAATTACTCCAAAATCGCATCTCAAAAAGCAAGAAAAATGTTTTTTTAAATATCAGAATATCAATATTTTTTATATTGATAAATTAAAATCAAAGCCATATTTCGATTTTTTTGCTTTAGGTCTCAAATAACATTGAGCCAGCCCTGAGCATTAGTCCTTGATTTTGGTAAACTCGCTGTTGCATTTCTTTTACTTCTCTGCTCTCTTTCCTCTTTCCTCTTCCACTTGTTCTCTATTTGTTTTCTTTTACTCTACTCTCTAATTAATTTACATAAACAACTTGCTATCTTTTTAATTAAACCAAACTTCAACCATTAAAATAGCTCCAATAAATCGTAGTTCTCTTCCCAAAGCCCTCTTTGCTAAATTTTCAACTGTCCCTAATTTATTTCTCAGCAAACCTTAATCATAATTCTTTATTGAAGTGTTTGAATTTCTAATGTTCCCGTATCAGAGCTTCTGCGGTGCATAATTTAAATTCTTAACTACTCTTTATTGCTGAAGTTAGCAGTTTATGATCTTACACAATTAACTTGTTCATACTATCCATATTCGAAAAACTAGTGTCATTTTTGAGGTCAACAACCAAAGGTAGGAAGGCTGTCTTCTGCTGGTCTTTTTCAAGATTGTTTAAAACTCAACTATAAATTGAGTAGAACGATTACAAATTGGGATTAAGGGATCAAAGTTTCCTGAGACGTTTTCTAGTAATGACTACATAAGGTGGCTGAAGAAGTTTGCATCAATCATATGCGTAAAGTGAATAGAAAATATTCAAGTCCACATGAAGATAGATAACCTCTACTCCACAATCGAGACTGCATTTTGTATGACAATGAGCTTAAATGAAGTATCTTAATACTTGTTGAAAACAAGCGCTGAGATAGTTATATTAGGTACAATTTTTCATAAAGGAGATATATTTTTATAGCAGTTCCATTTTTGCAAGTAATATAAATTTTGGTGAAAGAGCAAAAGATCGAACGGGCATGAAGAAGTCAATATCCTTTTCTCAGCTAATTTTTTTGGCTCTCCTGTTAAGTTTACTGGCTCCCTCTCAAGCTCAAGGTCACATATTTTCAAACCTTCATCTTTAATATCTCTTTCTCACACACACAAACACACACTTAAAAGCTAATTTTTTTCATCTAATCAAACAAAAAATAAAAGAAATGGTCACTTAAGGCACGTGACCCCCTATACACCGCAAAATTGGTCACTTAAGGCACGTGACCCCCCTGAGCATGAGTATAAAAAGCATTAAAAATGTGCAATCATAAAAGAAATGCGTCACTTACAAATTTTGATGTAAAATGCTTTCTTGATTCCCCGCATTAAGTTTAGCCCAATTAACAAAACGTTGTGCTCCAGCTTTATACTCATTTGAAGCTCTACAGTTGAAAATTAATAAAAATATTTTTTATTATCACAAAAATGACAAGAACAATGTCTATGAGTAAGGTTATTTAAAGTTATAATAACCTGTCATTAAGGTGCATCCAACCTTTATCCATTGAGTATCCTGAGTAGCACCATATTAGTTGACATTAGCATTAGCATAATTAATAAATCTCTCATTTTTTTATCAATATTTTTCCAATTTCCTGGATCATTAATGTTCAAAGGAAGATTATCATTCTCATTCATATATTCTTCATTTACCAAATCTTCAAGTTCATTCACATTTTTTTCATTTTGATTCTCATTCCTATCTTCATTCATTAAATCTCCATGTTCATTAAGATTTTCTTCATTCCTATGTTCTTCATTCACCAAAACTAGTACTCATCAGATGAAAAAACCAAATTCATCATGTACTTAAAACCTAGGAGTAAAAGAGATAGATATGAGAAAAACAGATCATATCAAGAAGAAGTTAAACAACTAATACTCATAAGATAAAAAAAACCAAATTCATCCGGAGACAGTGACGACCACTTGGAATGACCAACCACACGTATAGTAAGAAGAAGCTCTTAAAGATGCTATAGCTTCTGTTTCCACAAATCTCACAGAACTCAGAAGTACCACACAGTCGGTCCGCACTTTAAAGACTTCATAAACAGATAAGCAAAATACTGGATACATTTAATTAGACAGTTATATACAGCAAAGCTTTAAAAACTTAAATAAAGGATGACAATCTAATCATCAAAATAATTAATGACAAAAACTAAATATATCAAGGCCTAGCTTATGTTTATGCTAAAGTCAACATTTCTTTTCCCAGGTAAGACGAGCCATCAAAAATTAAGAGGAAAGCAAATATTTTCAATATATGTATTTCTAAACAAATTTGAAGGGGAAAAAAAGAAGTTCTTTCGACATAAATTTGTGCTTATACTCACAGATTAGATAAAAGATTGCCGAAAGAAAAATGAACTAGTTTATAAATAGATATAATATACTATAGTATTTCAAAGAAACTGAAATTGCATAAAAACTATAAGAATTACAGACCTTGATTAATTGATTTAGAAAAAAAAAAATAAAACAAAACCCATACATACAAGTTAGCAGTTGCAGAGAGAGGGCTTGAGAGTTGAGAAACAGCGGGCCAGAGGCTGAAGCTTGCGAACGGCGAACCCGATCGAACTGGAACAGCGGCATTTGGAAACTGAAGGATATGGATTTTGATTTTTTCAACTATCTGAAATGATATGCCGATATGGGTTCTGATTCTTGTAGATTTTGTAGTTTGCAGTTGCAGAGACAGAGAGAGGGCAAGTTCAGAGTTGAGAACGAGAATAGAGATGGAGGCGATTTGGGAGGCTGAAATGATGAGAACGAGAATAGAGACAGAGGCGATTTGGAAGGCTGAAATGATTTGCCCTATATATAGGAAAACTAAATTCACACGGTTTTGTATTAACCCTGTTGGCCTAGCAATATCAGTCTCTCCCTTTTCAGAGAGATCAGGAGTTTAAGCTTAAGTGAAAGTATGTGTGCATGAGTACCAACCAAGAGAAAAAAAAAAAAAAAAGTGCTACGAGAACAAGTGCTTTAAGGACACTGGATCCAGGTATCATTCCTCTCTCAATTTGAACTTGAGTTTAAGGACACAATACAGTCCCCTCCTCTTTCTTGTGTTCTCATTCCTCTTTCTCAATCTAAGCTAGCCTCTTTTTTACAGCTACAAACACTTCTGGGATCCTGTTTCTACCACAACCAATGCCTGCTGCTGCTCTTGTTCTCCTCCTCCTCCTTTCACTTTTGAATGTTGTCGATAGTATCGGAGTATTACCAGAGAGATGAAAGCTACAACAACAACATGAATAAATAGTCAGAATTTGCATGCAAGTAACTGTATCGATCTGCAATACGACTACCTCTCATTGTGAGCCTCTTTTTTGTGTGGACACATGCACTCAAAACTTACCCGGAACAAAAAAAAAAATCTTAGTTTTGAGTCGATGAGATGCGAGCATGAGACAATTGTGACTCTTATTCTCTGAGAAACTCTTAAAATCAGAAGTTTTCTCTACATGCCGGAATTGAGGAAGCGCATGTTCACTGACTTTAAGCACCTTACATAGAATGTGTATAAGTCCCCTAACATAGCATGTAAAGTCTGTCTAATTCTTCAAGTATAGTTCATAAATTAAACTTACAAAACTATAAATTGACAAATGTATTTTTAATTTGCACAATTAATCTAAGAAAGAAGACATCAAAATCTCACTTGCTCGAGTGTACACAGGGCATGGTCCAACAAGCCCCAAATTGGTTAATGTCCTAATAGCTTAATGTCATCTTAATTTTCTTTGATTTACTTTAGGTCACTCCAACCAGCACCAAATTTGTCTAGCTAATAGGTCATATATAGTCAGCAGAATAAAAAACTATGGGAAAAATATTTGAATGTCTACAAGTTACGGACTTACAGAAGGTGAAAGCCATCTAGAGAGAGTGTCAATTACTGTCCTTTAAAAAATCTAAAATTTTCCTTGGATTTTTATTCTTCAACCATTAGAGAAACTACTACCCTGGCACATAATGTCACAAAAACTCAGAAACTGAAAATGCGGAATCTGATACAGCTAAGTCTATGACTGAGGAGCTTCCTGTTTTCCCACCTCTCAATGGAGATGATTGCTACGGCATCATCAGACTATAAACTTTATGACATCAGACTATAGACTTTTTGACTTTCCAATACAAGGGCCCTGACCGACTCCATCCTTATTCAGGACACGATGACCCATGTTGAAGACTTTTGAGGATAATAGCACATAATAGCTGCTTTAATAAAGTTACTTTGTTTAAGGTATTTGTCGTTTTTATAGAGAAATTCTCTTATCTGTAAAGTAGATTCTCTCTTATCTTGAAGATTGGTATAACAAAATGAGAGTAAAATAGATTGTAAATCTTATTTTCATTTTTGGGTGAGAGAACAAAAAAAAAAAAAAAAAAAAAAAAAAAAAAAAACCCTTAATTATGTGCAAGACTAGGCATTTAAAAAGAACTATTTTGCTAAGTAATCCTGACTTAATCCTTTGATGGCAAAAGGTTCATCAACCCTCTTGAGCTGTGTTCTTAACTCCTAAGTGCTTGTTTATCTTCATTTTGTATTTTCTTCTTTGTTCTCTCTCTAAGCAGTGACTTCTCATTGTACCCTAGCTCTAGCAGCAGCTTAATGATGCCTTGTTTGTACAGTTTCCTTTCATAATATTATTTTTAAAAATAAAAAATAAAAATAAAAAACATTCCCACTAATTTGCATTGCCATATTTCAAGGTTTTTCGAACTTTACCTCCAATATTTTAAGAGATTATAGATAATAAAATAAAATTAAAAAAAAAGAGGCCCTGAATGTACACAGAATGAATATTCAAACTATTCGAAACTTGTGCCATAATTGATACAGTAAACTTCACAAAGAATCATATTTGGTAATGAAAAACAAAAAATTATATTGAATCAAATTGTCTGCTCAGATGAACTGATCATCAAGTGCTACAAGAACAAGTGCTATACGGGACACTGGATCCAGGCATCATTCCTCTCTCTCTCAATTGAACTCGAGTTTTTCACTGTGGATAACACAGTCCCTTCTCATTCCATTCCCCCTCCCAATTTGAACTTGTCCCTTCCTTGTTGAACTTTTCTACAAACACTTCTGGGATCCTGTTTCTACGACAACCAATGCCTGATGCTGCTGCTCTTGTTCTCCTTCTTCTGCTTCCCCTTCTTTCAGTTTTGAATGTTGTCGATAGTATCGGAGTATTACCAGGGATATAAAAGCTACAACAGCATGAATAATAGTCAAATTTGCATGCAAGTAACTAGATTTGGTTTAAGTTACTGTATGTCAGTGTGAGCCTCTTTTTGTGTGAACAAATGCACTTAAAAATTACCGGGAAAAAATAATAATAATAAATTCTTAATTTTGAATCAATGAGATGCGAGCATGGGACAATTGTGACTCTTATTCTCTGAGAAACTCTCAAAATCACTGGTTTTCTTTACATGTCGGAATTGAGGAAGTGCATGTTCATGTGTAGAAGTCCCCAAAACATAGCATGTATAGTTCATAAAACTTACAAAACCACAAGGCTATATTTGAATTGACAAATTTATTTTAATTTGCACAATTAATCTAAGAAAGAAGACATCAAAATCTCACTTGTTCGAGTGTACACAGGGCATGGTCCAACAAGCCCCAAATTGGTTAATGTCCTAATAGCTTAATGTCATCTTAATTTTCCTTGATTTAATTTAGGCCACTCCAACCAGCCCCAAATTTGTCTAGCTAATAGGTCATATATTTTGAATGTCTACAAGTTACAGGCTTACAGAAGGTGAAAGCCATCTAGAGAGAGTGTCGATTACTGTCCTTTAAAAAATCTAAAATTTTCCTTCGATTTTTATTCTTCAACCATTAGAGAAACTACTACCCTGGCACATAATGTCACAAACACTCAGAATGCAAAGTAAAAACTTTGTCAAAAAATTGCTTAAATTACCTGCGATTATACGTGTTTTAATGGAAGTCAGATTCCAAAAGGCTGTGACAGCTGATGCAGCCACAAACTTCTTGTGAGAGCAAGCCCCCCATGCTTCCAACACCCACCATTTGAAGCACTCAACTGCTTTATCAAAAACAGACTGACTTCAGTGACTTCAATTAAGAGTGAATGAAGACCAAATACATATTAAATATAACAAAGAGTATTGCATTAGTACCTCTCTTGTTCATCTGAACAGAGTAACATGAGTACAGTTTTGGGCCAGTGAAGCTAATGAAAAACCCTGTTGGATTCAGTCAACAAATTTTAGAAATTTTCACATCAAAAGAGCTTAATCACAAAAAGATTACACAAATGGATCAAGAGGATTATAGTGATCATACCAAGTGCAGAAAGCCTCCACAGGGTTATGAGATGGCCATACTCAGCTCCCATAAGTAGAAATGGTGCTACCTACAATCACAAAAAGGGTCAAATTTGAGAACCCAATTTAAAAATTGGGAAGATTGTGTTGAGAAAATAAAATGGCAATAGAGTTATGTATGTTGCTACTTTGAGGGTCATGGATGGTTCCCCAGAAAAAAGCCTTCTTGTCCGCAAAAGAGCTAGGTTTGCTGCTGGAAGTAATAATCTAGCTGCTCGCAAAATATCGTCTTCCTTCAGCTCAAATTCAGGCTTATTTTCAATACTATCCCTGTAAATTGATCATTCATGCAACAAATCAAGAAGAAAACTAAATTAAATCATAGCAATACATGGCTTATAGAGAAATGGGTGTTTTTACCTTTGACATATGGAATTTGAAAAAAATGACACACCCAAAAACAAAAGGCTCAATTGAGATATCATTGAGAAAATGCTGCAAACATGAGATTGAGAAGCTTTTAGATGTTTGAAATCAAAGCCACACCAAAGAATTGGAGAGAGAAAAATAATTTAAGTGAAACAAACCTAAAGTTGATTCCTCCAGCAAAACAGGAAGATAGGAAACAGAGTGACCCAAAACCAAACCAAAGGGTTGATTTTGCCATGTCCTTCCATATGATCAGATCAATTATCAGCTGTCCTACTCGATCAAGATTACATCGATCCCAATCATTTGTTTCTAAAAAATCCAAAACATTAACACCCAACAACCACAAAACAATCAATGGAAGCTTGAAAAAAAACCCAAAAATAAAAAAATAAAATCACTTGATTGAATTTAAAGATTGAGAAACAACTGAGACATACTTGGGGAAGGATTTGATGGAACCAAACTCAACTTGTCCTTCTTGGGCCGACCACTGTGCCGTCTTTTTCTAGCCTTAGGCATCTCCTCCGCCATACCCAAGTCCTTCTCTTCTCGAATTTCTTGCTCCAATCGCTTCCGCGACCTCCGAGCACCCCTCGGCGAAGCACATCCCAACACACCCGTTGCACCATTTCGGGTCCTGTGTCTCCGGCGTGGCCCAGATGGGTCCACGGGTTCCTCGGCCGATTCGAGTCTCTCGGCGAGACGGGTCTTGGAGCGCCGGAGAGGAGAAGGCGAGAGGAGTAAGAGCTCGCGAATGGGGAGAGAATTGGGAGGTCTCGGCGAGGGAGAAGATGGTGAGAGATTTGCAGCAATCTTGGGTGAAGAAGGGACCAAATGCAGAGAATGTTGAGGGGTTTCATCGCTTTCGTCGTCGAAATGGGTGATTCGAGAGAGGCGAGAGGCGGATTTGATGCGTGACCTGGGATCGGATTGATGAGATGGCGGTGTTGAATCCATGATCCAACTGTTTGTGTGGATTTGGAAGAAGTTTTTAGGGTTTTTGAGTGAGAGAAAAAAGAGAAGACAGAGTCAGTAAGCTATAAAGAGAGGGTTTCTTGGTTGTTGATTAAAGGGGTTCAAGGAATGAGCCGTTGGGGAGACAGTGCTTTCGATTTTTCAAATTTTTTCGGCGAAGGTGGTGGGTCCATGGGCTATACAACGGTAAGAAAACCGATAAGAAAACTTCCATTTGGTACCATACCTGTTTTGACTTTTGTGTATATTATTAATAAAGTGAAAAAAAAAAAAAAAAAAAAACTCCCCATGTTATAATAAATACATCCAAAAAAATTTAAAAATATTCTACTTAATTATGCATATTTTCAAATATGTTAATTTTTATTTTTGTTTTTATATTTTTTTAATTTATTAGGTTTGACTGCTAATTTTATCAAACTAATTAAAAATATATAAAAAAATACTATTTAGACTCTTTAATGGTCCAAAATACACCTTTTCTGAAAAGTTGAGCGTGGTTCCAAGTCCATAATGCTAGTGATGAGGTCCAACACGTAAGAAATTAAAAAAAATATCCATTAAGCAAATATCTTGAACTAAACTAGAATATCCATTATATAAATATATATTGTACTCATCTAACATAAATCTAAACAACTAAAATAGAGATATCAGAAAACAAAAAAAAAACAAAAATCGCAATTCCTGCAATCATCCATTTCTTGCCTTTGGATTCTAGGCTTCCATTTGGTTGATGCTTTTTCGAAAAACCCATCTCAAATTTAAACACAAATCAATTGTTTTGATGACCCAAAGAAAGGGAAAGCAGTGGTACATGCATAAAAGATGGGTTTTGATAAGGAAAACTAATGAGATAAAATGAGTCTGAGAGAGAAGAAAGAAGGAATACGCCAAAAGGGTCTTTGTTAATTTCGCTGATTTTATTGAAAGGGAAGGAGGTAAGAAATGAGTTGAAGACTTCGAACGAAAGCAAAGGAGGGCGGCGAAAAAAAAGTTGAAGTTTGTCCGAATGATGATCACTCGAATTAGAAAACCTCAAAACTGACCCATATTTTGTCCGCCGGAGATCGTTGCCAGAAATAATGGAATTTATGAATTTTGAAGCACGCCGAACTTTTCGGAAGAGACAAGGGCATTTAGAACTATTAAAGAATCCAAATACTATTTTTGTATGCTTTTGTACTTAGTTTGATAAACTTAGCAGTTAAATCTAATAGTTTTAAAAAGTCGGTATATTTGAAAATATGCGTAATTAAGTAGTTTTTTAAAATTTTCCCTATACATATATACAGAATGGCAAATATTCTTTCATGATAACCTCTTTATAGTTTTAAAAAGTTGGTATATTTTAAAATTGAGCAAATAAGAGCAATTTTAACTAAAATGAAATTAAAAGAAATAAAAATAAAAAACACTGATTTTGAAAATTTGAGATTTTTATAAAAAAAGAATTTGGATTTTTTTATAAAATTTTGGAATTTTGATATTTTTTTTGGGATTTTAGGGTATTTTGGGATTTTTATAAAAATTTTGGAATTTTTGGAGTTTTTATAAAAATTGAAGACTAAATTACCTAAAATGCCTTTGAGGGTATTTTGGGATTTTAAAAAAAATGGTGAAAATTGATGATCACGGGACATTTTGCTATAAATTTTCAGAATAAGAAATTTATATGCACTTTATATAAAGCACGAGTATTTCTTGCAATTTTTTTTTTTATAGAATATGTTTTGTTTTGCACTTGATCCTATTTTACTTGATTTGTTTAGAAGGTTAAATCATAATCAAATTGATTGAAATGATCATTAAAATTTTTATAAGAATAAAAATTTGATTTTTCAAATTGAATTTGTAATAAGAACATGACACAATAGTTATTACTCTAAATTTCATCGATCTCCTTTGATATTAAAAAAATTACATGCAATATCCTTGTATATTCAAAAACTACACGTCCTTAATTATTCGTGTAAAATTGCTTACTATTCTTTAGAATTTAAAATAATTTTTATTGGTTATTGGCATTAATTATTTAAAAAAAAAAAAAAACTAAAAAGTGAACAGTTGTAATCCAAAGACACAGATAGACACAAAAAAAAATTATTATATGGTCTACAACCATTAATTAGAAAGTAAAATTAAAAGTTGTCCACCAGGCACTTTACTTTTATTGGCTGAATAAGATAACACTTGGGTTTTATCATTTATTTGGTTGAACAACGGAAGATTGGGATTATCGAGTTATTACTTGATCAGAGTTGTCTTCGGTAGAAAACACTCTCTCTGCATCATCAAAACATTTCGCTCACCGTGGGATTATTTTGATTTAAGTGGAAAGCAGAGTTGTAATCCAAAGACAGATAGACACAGAAAAATTATTATATAGTCTACGACCATATAGAAAGTTAAATTAAAAGTTGTAAACACCATACACTTTACTTTTATTGGCTGAATAAGATTACCCTTGGGATTTATCATTTATTTGGTTGAACAACATGTTGATAAGGGTTGCCTTTTAAGAAAAAACTCTCTCTGCATCATCAAAACATTGCGATCAGTGTGGAATTATTTTGATTTAAGTGGGGTGTTACGGGTAATTGTTTAAGTATCTGTACCTTCAAAAGGAGATCAGAGATTCAAATCTCAGTGAAGACATGCGTGTGTGAGTAACAATTAAGAAAAAAAAAAAAAACCTTAATATATAAAAAAAGACAAATTAATTAAAAAAAAATAAAAAATAGCATTTTAAATACTAGTGATTGTGCAACTATTATCTATTAAATTAAAAAAAATTGTTCATGAGATGCTAATTTAAGGATATATATACACAATATCTACAATACATGAACTTGTTAAAATTGCATTATTTGCCTCACACATTATTTAACTAATATTAACATAAATATTATAACATGATTGCATACATTAATTAAATCTTAGCCAAAATATTTTATAAATATATATAGCATATTCAATGATTTTCCTTCGAATACTTTTTTTAGTAATATTAGTTAGCCGGCAATAATACATACATCAATTATATCAAATGATTTTTTAGTTTACCTATTTTTTTTTTATTAAATTTTTTAAAAAGTAAAAGTAATTTAAATATTTCATAACATTTTTATATACAAAATAGCTAATTTGGTAGGGATATAGTGCGTATAACGTCTCATTGTTTGTTTATCTCCCTGTATATTAAAAATGGTGCGAATGAGTGCGTTTCGACCGCTCACCTTTATTGACCGATACCAGAGTTAAAAAAAAATTAAAATAACCCTCTATCTATAATTTAAAAATAATAATAAAATAACATAAAATGAGAAAAGACTAATATAACTCAATAAACCACACCTTTTATACGTAATCAACCCTAATTCGATCTATTTCATCTCAAATTCTCAACCTTTCCAATTGTTCTGTCCAATACAATAAAAAGATTAAGCTCAATTTCCATCTCTCAAATGGCCAAACCAAGCAAGCCCTTCTATCACTTCATAGCCATTCTTCTCTGTGTTTCTCTACTATTATGTGCCAATTTTCATCAGCCAGACCATTGAATGGCTTCCATCCAAACACGGCCGCGGCCACGCCGAAGACCTCCGATCAGCAAGTTCTGTCATGTCACATTCTGAAAGGAGGAAGGAGGAATTATGTATCCCGAATGCGTCGCTCCAAAACTGTCAAAGTAGACCCACATGCCAGACTAGAATTAGGCTACTACAGGGGCATGTGAACTTCTACTTCTTAGTGAACGGGCTTCTTCCTTTTCTTCCTCAGGATATAAGTCATTTTTATTGGGATTGAAATATGAAGAGGGAAATTCGCTGAAAAAAGCTCCATGGTTTTTGCTTTAAGTCATGTATTTTATCTCCTCCGTGTCAGAGGTGGTCAACAAGAAGTAGGAGGAAGGAGGAAGAGGCCAGAGACAGAGATGAGGGAGAGAGAGATTAGGGTTATATATGCAAATATATATGGTGAGGGGTAGTGAAGGAATATGAAAAGGGTAATTTTGAAAATAAAAGATTTAAAATGATCATGTACAAAACACAATGTTTACGTTGAATTTTTACCGAAATTCTAGCGGGAGTTGCTTATAAGCAAATCCATATTAGAAAAAGAAGACAAGAGAGAGGTTTAATTTGTATATATATATAATTAACATCCTTTATTTTTAATTTAATATTAGAAAGGTGTAATTCGCACATATTTGAAGCTAGAAGGTGTTTTTTGTGACTTTTCCATACAGACATATATGTAGGTATGTATGTGAATTTAATATTTGGACAATCCACGGTCATCTCTTCGTAGAAATCAAATTACTCTGCATTTTTTGTGTTTTTTTTAAAAAACACTGTACTGTACTGTACTTGCTTTAATTTCCTTCCCCTCTTTCGTCTTGTCGCTATGCCAGTTGACTCGAGTGGCAATCAGTTGCACTGCAGAAGTGCAAAACCCAATACCCAGCTCCAACAGAAGCAGCAGAGAAAATGGAGAACGGATCGACAAATTGGGGTTTTCGAGCGAATGAAGAGCTGGACCGAGCGTTCGCTTTCCCTATCAAAGGTGTTGTCGCAACCCTTATGAAGAATCTCAATAAATCCGATCACAGACCCACTATTCCACTCGGCCGTGGCGATCCGGCGGCGTCTCCGTGCTTTCGGACTACTCCGGTGGCCGAAGACGCCATTGTTGATGCTCTGAGATCTGCAGATTTCAACGGTCGCGCCCCAAATGTTGGTATTCTTCCAGCGAGGAGGTAATTGTAAGATTTGTTTATACGGTGTCTCTCTCTTTTGCTCTTATAATCAACTTCTAAAGCTCTGGAATTAAAACCCAATAGTTTTTAAATCCTCAACGTGTAGTCTTTGATGAATATTGATTTCAGAAATTCATCTTCATTCATACTTAAATATGTTTAGAAAATCATATATGTGAATCATGTTATGGGAGTGCTTTAGTTTATTGATTAGTTGATAAGAAACAGTAAAATTTCTGTTACCCAATAGAACTGCTCAAGTTTGAACCTTCAAAGAAATAGGATACACAATTGCAGCTTAACAGGTGACCTTGAGGCCTTCATTGGCATATCCCTTCAAAATAAAGGATGATCAATGTCCATCTGCGCCCATGTATTAATTTGATCATCTATGTTTTTTCATTTTTAAATTTTAACTTTGATTTGTAGGCAGTTTTAGACAGGAGTGTGAAATGTCAATTTTTGTAAACCTTTAGTGCTCTTGATATGTTAAGAGGTGGGAGATGACAACTAACTTAGCTGGTGCTACATTGCTTGCTTGGTTTGAGTCTCTATAAGAGCTCGAACTCTATATATTAAGGTGTTAAAGCACAGTGGGCAAGTGCTGGCATAAAAGGGAGGAGTGGCATTAAGGGTTCAACTCTTGTCACCGTTAGTTCTTTTATTTATTTATTTATTTTTTTGAAAAAAGAAAAGGATCTTAAAAAAACACTTCACTTCTGAGCTATAGTGGAAACAAGCCCAAATATGGAATCAACATAAGAGGGCAATCAACATTTCATTCAAGTTTAAAGCTATGCAGGGAAAGCGCTCTTAGGTCTGCTTTGTTAAGGCCAAGGAAATGTTATTGCTAAGAATTTCTTTTTCCGAAAAAATAAGGTGTCGTTTAACAATCAAATGTTTTGTTCTTCTTTGAACAACAATGTAAACCACCATAATAATGTTGTCAAAAGATAAACTAAAAGTAGTTACACCAAACATTTTGTAGACGAGCAAATAAGTGGATTAAGTTTTGGTCAATACTAAAGCTTATAAGAGTAGAAAGTTATTATAATGGCCAAATGATAAGACAATTTTTTTGATTTTAGAATTCATTGTGAGCCTCTCATAGGTTTGTAGATGCTATGTTATTCCTTCTTGAGAAAAGAACCATGCACACATTACATTTTTATATTCTGTTTATTTTTTCAATAGCTTTGGAATGGAGAACTTTTAATAAACTTATATATTTATATGTATATATACATATATTTTTGCAAAATATTTTCCTGTTCTTTTGTTGGAGGAAATCTTTTGTTAATTCATTTGGAACAAATACTTGTACTCCATTAACAAAAAAGTTGAAAAACATTAACATAATATAAACACTGCACGACAAAGGAAATGTAAAGCACATATACTTTTATAAGGGGGACGTACGCATATTGTGTTCGTATCCGATACCGACACTACTCGCACATATGCGTCCAATACTTCCTAAACGTATTCAAAATTTTGAAAATAAATTTTTTTATTCAGCCACGTATGTGATACTTCTGTGATACTTCCTCCTACTTGTCACATTCTTCACAACACATATACTTGTTATAAAAAAAAAAAAACTTCATTTCACATATAACAAGTTTCGAACATTAAAGTAAAATAATTATTTCAATTATAATATCATAATACATTTATTAAGAAAAGTTAAAAATTTCTTCAAAAAGAAGTATTGATATATATATATATATATATATATATATATATAAAATTTAGTCTAAAATTTATCCATGAAAGATAACTCAGTTCTCAACTCCTTTATCATTATTTTTTTTTTATTATAAGGAAATGTTAGTAAAAATATGACAAATAATTATTATTTTAAATTTATACATGGGAATAAATATTTTAATGTTATACATATTTACGTTAATACAAAATATATTGACGTGTCCTTTCCGTATCCTTATTTTACTTTGTAAGTATTTGTCGTATCACCATATCCATATCATGTTGTGTCCATATCCCGTGTTGTTGCCCTTCATAGTTTGTGGCTTTTTTTGTCGATGGGTGGCCATTTTCATCCCCACCTGTATCCACAGGAATTTGTAGTACCTTGTCAGAGATCTCATTTTTCTAGAAAAATTTGGAACTGAAGCGTTTTTGGAAATATTACGAAATGTGTTTCAGAGTTAAAAATTTTCATGTATATCTAGGTTTGAACATTTTATAATAAATAACTTCATCTTTTATACTTTTATTGTAACACAGGAGTTTGTGATATACCAGACTAAGGTATTCACTAAAGAAAAAATAATAGAGTTGATGATTGTTAACTAGTTCACAATATGGCGTTAAAAAATAAAAAATAAATAAAAAAATAGAAAAAGAAAACCAAATTGCAACCAATGTGGCATAAGGTACATGGGTTAAGTCCCACCTCATGCATTAACAGAAATATGGCAAAAATACAATATAGGTATACTAAATGGATCAGAATTGACATTTTCTTTCTCAGTCCACCAATATCATTCTTTTGAGCAAGTCTGTATGGATGTAAAATCATATGACCAGATACTGGTGTTCTTCACTATCCATTCTTGTCGGAAGTCTATAGGAACTCTGATGATCAACCTATAAATTCTTGCGCTTTTTAGGGTTAGGGTATGTGACCTGGGGAGATTGCATTCTTGTCACACCAAGGGGGAAGGATCCATGAGGAGAAGAGAGGACAAGGATGGAGAATTGTCGTGGTGGGTTTTAACGTCTAACTAACTGGATCTTACTCTTATATATATGAGCCCTGTTATATTTGACTTAGCAATGGGCCATGTGAAGCTATCACTCATTGGTGCCACATTTCCTATTTCCGTAACAAGTACATAATGGTCAGAATGGTGATTTTGAGACTGGGAACATATCATTGACTGAGCAAATATGCTGAACAAATGGTGCTTAACTGGTCCTTTCTCTTTCTCTTTTGTGCCAAACGTATGACCTCACTTTTGCTACTAGCCTGACACTGTGTCCTAGTTGGTTAGAATTTTTTTTAATGCTGATACAGCCTTGGGTAGTTCTTGCCGAGCATCTTCTTCCTCTTTAATGACAATCTTGGATTTTAGGGCTATGTTGTTATTTGTTCTCTTTAATCATTGCTTGAACTCCATGTTATCTTCTTCCTAATTTCACTATTCTCTTAATTTATAATTGTCATAATTCTACTTATGATGTTTATATACTAATAGTCTGTTTGGTAAGAGGGAGGAATGAGAAAAAGGAAGGGAATGGAAGGAAATGGGGAGGGGTGGATAGGCCATTATTTTGGTAGGAGGAGAATGAGAAGGTAATTGATTAGAGGATTGTAGATCCTTTTCTCCAAGCCTACCACATTCGTTCCTCCTGAAAGTGTAATGAAAGGAAGTAAAGGGCTCCCTCACTCCTTTTACATTATGGCTTAAAACGTAGATCCCTTTAAAGAGTAAGGGCATGTGCCCAGCATAACAATAAAATAGTGAAAATCCGCTTCCGTTCCTCCTCTTTTCCTTTCTACTCAATCAAACAAAAGAAGGGCAAGATCCTTTCTTTCCCTATATATACCTTCTTCTCTGTCCTACCTTCCCTTCTACTTTTCCATCCGTCGTACCAAACAGAGTGTCATTGTAAGGAAAATGAACTTCTTTTGATGGTATCCAAATATGAAGAACTCTATCATGGGTGAAAGAATTTTCAGATTAATCTGTTAAATTGATGCTTGAAATTTCATTTTTAGATCAGGTCTATTGCAGAACATCTCTGTCGTGATCTTCCATATAAATTATCACCGGATGACGTTTATCTCACAGCTGGCAGTAAGCAAGCAATTGAAGTCATATTAGCAGTCCTTGCTCGCCCTGGTGCCAATATTTTGCTTCCTAGACCAGGGTATCCAACGTATGAAGCTCATGCTGCATTAAATCATCTTGAAGTCCGGCACTTTGATCTTCTTCCAGAAAAGAGTTGGGAGGTTGATCTTGATGGCGTAGAAACTGTAGCAGATCATAAAACTGTCGCTATGGTTATAATCAATCCTGGCAATCCATGTGGGAATGTTTTCACTTATGAACATTTACAAAAAGTGGGTTACACTATTGGCTAGGAAATAAGAATGCCTCTATATTTGTAATCATGGATTTAGGTTTTAAAGTTGGTCATTCTTTATTTGTTTGATAATTTAGGTTGCGGTGACTGCAAGAAATCTTGGGATATTAGTGATTGCAGATGAAGTTTATGGCCATCTAGCTTTTGGAAGTTGCCCGTTTGTTCAAATGGGAGTGTTTGGAGCAACAGTGCCTATTCTCACACTTGGGTCCATATCAAAGAGATGGATTGTTCCTGGTTGGCGACTTGGTTGGATAGTGACAAATGATCCCAATGACTATCTTCAAAACTCAGGGGTTTCTCTCTTTCCATATATTTTCTTTGTAGCTTATTAACATAGCTAGAATTAAATTTGGTCATTCTAGTTTTTCGCTATACTTTATGGGCCTTTAGGCATCACGTGAGACTTGAATGATTCCATTTTGTTTTACGATTCCACTTTATCCTAACACAACATTTGAACACATGATCAGGTAGTTTAGCATTCTATTTTGGTAATCTGATATGGAAATACTATAACTGGAAATCCTTAACTGTAACTGAAACAGGGACATAGAGAAAGTGAAATATGTTACTTCCTACAATAAAAAATTAAGGCTCCGTGGTTAGATAGAAAGTACTGGAAAGTGAAGGAAATGATTTTTTATTTTTTATTTTTAATTTTTTAAACATTTTAAGAGTTTGGATAGCAAGAATAAGAAAACTTTGAGGGAAAATAATTTTCTATAATCACGTAACTTTCTTATATATATATTTTCCTGAAAGTCGGCTTTCCTATAAATTCTTGTGAAGAAAATTTTGTCCTCTTGAGAAAGTTATTTAAACTTAAAAAGTATGTCATTTTCTTTTATCTATCACAAAGTGTATATATGCTTAAATTTAAATTTAAATTTTTTTTTAAAAGAATGGTATAATTCATCTCTCTTTAAATGTCCTAAAAAATGTTTATTTAGATTTTCAAATTATTATTTTATAAAAATACTGAAAAGTATTAATTGGAGACATATCTATTTAGACTTGTTATTTCAATTGATGTAAATTAATAAAGACAATTCAATAATATTTTCTTGTAACTTTCATGCAATCCAAACCATGAAACGGAAATATTCTGCAACTTTCCTACAGAATTTTCATTCTAACCTAATACATGTTTGAAAATTTATTTTATTTTCTTTCACTTCACTTTCTGGTATCTTTTTTCTTCTAACCAAAAGAAGCGCAAATGAAATAACTGGGAATTTGATAAATTTCCATGACCTGAACTCCATATATGCAATACATAGCTCCTATAGAGTAGATTACATGTTCTTTCTCAAAATATGTATCAGTGAAGGCCATCACCTAGTACTGGTCATGCCTACGCAGGAAGCCAGGCGAGAAAGATGGAGAATGACCCAATGTTTGGCACTATATTGCACTAACTGGCTGTTAATTGACTCGGACCTATGTCCAAGCAATAGTCCCTAAATAATTGAACTTGACTAATACATGGCAGATGTATACCTCAAAATTTATAATGATAATATTGCGGATTCACATAGTGAATCTTTATCTTTCTTTCCCCGTCGCAGATTGTTGAAAGCATTATGGAGTATCTAAACATTGCCTCCGGTCCTGCAACCTTCGTTCAGGTATGTATTCCAAAAAGCTTCCTTTCTGAAGTCCAAATGCAATTATATATATATATATATATATATATATATATATATATATATATGTTTTAAGCTCTTAGTTTTGTTGTAATTAGCAAAAAAGGTTGATTTATTGCCAATAAGTGTTGGAGCAATTGATTTAGAAGCCTCGAGGAATCAAATCTTTAAGTTCTACTTTAGTCAAAATTTGCTATAGAAACTAGAAAGGATATCTGATGTTATTCTACTTGACCCCCTGGCTAATTAAATTTGAATAGATGGTGAGGAATGAATTTGAATTTTCCTCTTGGGGCCATCTGTGCAATTGTTCCTCTTAAAGGGTTGCTGAAGATGAACTGCTTCTTCTGCTTATCAGCCACCTGAAATCATGAACTAAGTTCCATAGTCGTGATTGATAACGTAGTTCGGGATTTTTTGGGCAAGCACAATAGCTTCATCCTGTTGAATATGAAGAGCTTTGAATCCCTGTGATGAGCAACTCTGTAAGGCCTTCTTAGGGCCTAAAGCTCCACTGCCACACTTGTAATGCCCCAACATTGTGGAGAAGCCTAATACAAATTGACATCTGATGTCTGTCAACAGGCCAACCCCAGTTTTTCCCAGGTTACAATATGAAATGCCATTTATAGGTGGACTCCAGCCTATATAGATTGTATTTCTGGTTGATACAGTAAAGTGGAATTTTGTTGCTTTGCGAAGAATCAAAGTTAGGAGTTTGTCATTTGCAATGTATTGCCTGCTAAATATGTATTGGTTCTTGCTATACCAGATCAATCCACAGGAGAACAGGAAATTTATAGTCCGAGGGACTTGGTGAAAATGGGAATTAATCGTTCATCTAACAAATTTCAGCCGGGTAGACTTTCGACAAGTGAGGAGAAGTGGGTCAACCACATCAAATCCCATTGAAGCCCAAATTTTTTGTTTCTTCTTATTAATTTTTTTTTGTGTGTGTGGTCATGCAAAGTATAGAACAGTTTCAGGATGAGATCGGCATATAGGGTGAACAGTTTCAGGATGAGATCGGCATATAGGGTGGCCTATGAACCAAGCCTCCCAACCACTTCCCAATGTCTGAACATCACTTCACAACAATCGTTTGCCTTGAACTTGGTCAATGCATAGATCCACAATGGTAGCATTGCCAATAGGTATCCCAAAAGCTCGCATATTTGATCATTGGTTAGCAAGCATATCTTATCATCTCCCCAAAGTTTTTGTCAATGACTGATTGCTGTGAAGGTTACCTGATTCATTATTTTCTCCCTTTGTTAAAATATTGATGGTATTGATGGTGGATCTTCAACATCTGTGGTTCACATTGCTTAAGTGATGTAGTTTGTACTATGATGATATTAATTACTCCTATTTTTGGGTAGGTATGATGTATTAGTATATCATAAAAGGAATGAAAAATTGAAGAAACTCCCTGCAACACGTAGGCGTGGAACAGTTAACCTTGCTTCTAGCATCTGATTGTTTCTGTTCTTTTTTTTTTTTTTTTTTCAATTATTAACCTTGTATTTATATGCCTAAAATAGGAAAAAGTTAATTGGTTGTTTCCTCTGAAATGTTGCACTAATTTGCTGATGATTCAATATTGATCTGGTTTAATCCAGTTTGTAATTCTCATTAATATGTTTAATAATGTGTTAATGCTTACATTATTTGGATATTCTAGTAGACAAATATCTAGATTGCTTCAACATCCATGCTTAAAATCATATATGTCCTCCGATTAATTTACTTTCTAAATATATATTAAGTAGTAAAGGTAATAATTCTGTGTTTCATGTATTAGGGGGCAGTTCCTCAAATTCTCGAAAAAACAACAGAGGACTTCTTTGTGAAGACTATAAATTTACTGAGAGAAGCTGCACGCATTTCTTATGATAGACTCAAGGAGATTCCTTGCATTATTTGCCCATATAAACCTGAAGGATCCATGTTTCTAATGGTAAGGATGTAGAAATTTTGAGTTTTATTTTAATTATTTTATTTTCTATGAATTAAAACAAATAATTGAAGATTTTTCCAATTGCCAACAAAATACATTACAGGTTAAGCTAAACTTGTCATTGTTGGAAGGAATTAACGATGATATGGAGTTTTGTGTCAAGCTGGTTAAGGAGGAATCCGTGATTGTTCTTCCGGGTAAGAAACAAACCAGTTTACAACTAATGAATTTCATATAGTATTGATCTCTCAATAGGTTGCTGAATTAGCATTGAAATTGATGACATCTTGTCCAGGGGTTGCCGTGGGACTGACGAACTGGCTCCGCATAACTTTTGCCATTGAGCCATCATCTCTTGAAGATGGTCTTGCTAGGATAAAAGCATTTTGCTTTAGGCATGCCAAGAAAGATTGAGATTCATTTTTTTTGTTCGAAGATTGAGTTGTCATGGTCGGTCTTGTTGTTGTTGTTGTTGCTGCTGCTGCTTGTTCTCCCAAACTTTGCTTATACTTTTAACCTTTAATTTTAATAGATGAGACTGATGGGTGTTACCCATTTGTTTGCCCCGACAAAGAACTCCCGCAATGCTGTTGGGAAAACTTGAGCCCTACATGTTTCGGTTTGGAATGAGAGGAGCTATCACTAGGTCATAGGCCCTCGGTGGTGTTGGTATAATAATGTGCAGGTTATTATTGTATCCTTGGTCTCTAAAAGCCTTTTGGAGGGAGGATTATCAAATGGCACTTTCAAGATCATACAACTAAGTAGTTATATTTTACAGGTGAACCATTTTTCTGCTAATACTCTCTAATAATGGCTCACATTCTCAATTTCTGTTAGACATTTTCAAGAACATTTTAATTCTACGTAAACATAATAGACACACATACACACACACGGGCTTCAAATTTTTAGCAGAAAGAGAATTGATCGCAGGACTTGAATGTGACTAAAATAACAATTTGTGTGAAAAGTTCACATAGTTATGGATCGTCATTCAAGAGTTGATCTTATGATTTTTATTCGGACAAAGTGAGACTATTACTTCTTGGCATGCCTCAAATAGAAGGCTCTAATTCTCCCAAGCCCATCTTCAAGAGACGAGGGCCCCACAGCAAAAGTTATGCGCAGCCAATTCTTCATTCCCACTGCAAACCCTGCAAGTCATGCTAGCAGTCTCAGTAACCTATAAAGGATTCAACAATTGAAGTTAAAATTGTTGGGGATTTTGTGTATTCTTATTGATAAATCTATTTACCGAACCATATCACCAAAACACTTATTCATTCGTATCATAATGTTATCACATGTACTACATAGAATTATAAATTTATCCGCCAGTAAATTATTATTGAAATCTCATCTTTGATTTTTTTTAGATGTAAACAATTTTTTAGGGTTTAAGTTTGCGAACATAATTCGAGTTTTACTTAATTTGTGTGGGAGTTGCTTTGCATGTGTCCCGTGAATTAGTCAGGACACCCGGTTTTCCAATAAAAAAATAAAAATTTATCAGTGAAAAACAAATTAAAGTAAGAGAAAAAAAATTTCTAGCCTGTACAATGAAGAGATGCAATATAATGCGTTGTTCTAAATCCTTTACAACCTCGCTCTTTACAGATTGTCCTTTGTGCGCATGCTCACATAGAGACAGTCATCAAATTTTCCATGTTCCCAAAATTTAAAGTTATAGAATAAAATATGATAGAGAGAAAGAACATGAATAAAAGTAGAAAAATTTTAAAAATCAGATATTTATAAGCTTCTTCGTGTCATAGACGCGACAGATGGAAAAGTTTTTAGCTCTCATATTTATTCACATCCTTCTCACAATTTAATCGCTAAAAATTTTTAAGTACTTATTTTAATTAATAAAACCCTAACAAAAATAACCAACACTAAAATCAAAAGCAGAATAGTTCCTATGAAAAAGGAGTTCAATTGCATGATTAGTTCCTATAGAAGGATGTTATTGATTTGGAACACGACTAATAATATATGATACAGAGGCTTTGTTAAAGAGTTTTAATATTTATTTATTTATATAAAAAATATTTATTAATTCATATAAAAAGAGTTTTTATGTATACTATTATTAAGTGTGTAAAGAATTTCAGTCTTTAAGTATTTATTTATTTATATAAAAAAATATCTATTAATTGATATGAAAAGAGTTTTTATATATAAAAAAAAACTCTAAAATCTATCTAATAAAATTTAAATTAACCTATTTATCCATTTATTATTATGGATTTTTTAATAAAAGAAAATCTAATTAGACAAGAATTATTAGTATAATAAATATTTATTAATTGATATATAAAATAAAATAATTTTTCTAAAACTCTACCACAAATTAGCTGTTATTATGAGTTTTTTAATAAAATGAAATCTAATTAGACAAGGATATATTTAAAGAAAATAAAATAATTTCAATAAAATTCTATCACAAATTACCTATTTTTTCTAAAACTCTACCATAAATTAGCTTTTATTATGAGTTTTTAATAAAAGGAAATCTAATTAGATAAGTATTATTAATATAAAAAATTATTTATTAATTGATATAAAAAGAGGTTTTCAAAAAGTTTTTATAAAACTCTAACAAAAATTACCTATTTACCTATTTATTAAAAGTTTTTTTAATAAAAGAAAATCTAATTAGACAAGAATTATTAATATAAAAAAGATTTATTAATTGATATAAAAAGAGTTTTTAAAAGAGTTTCTATTAAACTCTAACACAAATTACCTATTTATTTATTTATTTATTATGAGTTTTTTAATAAAAGAAAACCTAATTAGACAAGAATTATTAATATAAAAAATATTTTTTAATTGATATAAAAAATAAAATAATTTTTCTAAAACTCTATCACAAATTACCTTTCATTACTAGTTTTTTTTTTAATAAAAGGTAATCTAATTAGACAAGAATTATTAATATATAAAAATATTTATTAATTCATATAAAAAGAATTTTTAAAAGATTTTCTATTGACATGTAGTGATAGGACCTACCATGTAACCGGTTGCGCGCATTTTACAAAATACGTTTTTGGAAATGAAACTCACTAGCCAAGCGGGATTGGTCGTGCCCCACAACCGGTTGCACTCTTGCAGACCAAAATAGTAAGTTGAATCATGATCTGTTTTGATTTCTCTTTTTGGCTAAAGTTTTGCAAGACAATACATGCATGAAATTGACTTGGTTTCCAAGTAATAATTTTTGGTATTTCTAGGATTTGAATGAAAATGAGAATTTTGAGTTAAATTTATTTGAGTTCCCTTTGAAGTCAGAAAGAGTGTTTTAATGTGTAAATTTTGAATCTTTATAAACTCTCTTCCTCTCTAAAATTTTTAGGGCGTCAAAATTGATATTTTTCTAATTGAGAGAATTGTTTGAGAGTACTTTTTACATAAAATCACCTTGATTCTTCTGTATATATTTTTATATACTTGAGAGACACACTATTACACTTGAGTGATCTTTGGATAATATTCTCTATCTGATCAAAGTTCAAGCTTATTGAGGATTCAGTCTATTCTGTTTAGAAAAATATGATTTCTATTTGTATTCAACAAATTCAAATTTGCTTCAAACATAATGGATCGTTTCGCTCAAGACGGCGAAAGTCTCCTCTGTTTTCATCCCGATTGGTCCAACTAGGGTTTCCAACACATAAAAACTCGGTGTCATCTCTCAAACTTTTTTTAGTTGTACTTTATTTTTGTTTTGTGGGTTTGATTTTAGTTTTATTTTGGTAAAATTAAAATTAGATAAAAAAGTACGTAAAACATATTCAACTCTCCCCAGATTATTTTTAATACAAACTTCCACATTCATTTCGCATAGCGAAACTAACAATCAAAACTCAATCTGATGATTTGGAGGAGAAAGGGATTCTATTTCTTCTTGGCATGCCTCAAATAAAATGCTTTTATTCTTCCAAGGCCATCTTCAAGAGATGAAGTTGCCACGGCAAAAGTTATCCTCAGCCAATTCTTCATTCCCATGGCAATCCCTGCAAGAGATGCTATGATTAGTTGATGCTAACTCAACTCAGAAGCTACATTCTAATAGTAGTGAAGCTGCACAAACACACTCTTCGTTCCAATTCTTTTGCTAGTTAGTAAGATGAATTTTAATGATAACGAAGTTTCCTCGCAATTTGAAAGGTGAGAAAATACCACTTTGCAATAGTACGTTATAATTGAAAGCTTAAAATTCAAATCCTTGGCTAGGAATTTAATTTCATATGCTGAGTTTTAATTATAAACTACAATGCATTATGTATAAACATCATATGATCACATATTCTAACTGCACAAGTAGAAATTATACATGGAATGGGACATAGAAGCACAAAAAAAGAATTATATGATGGATATATCGAAACAAACAATTCTAGTTAAAAAAGGGCCTCAGAAAGAATCAATTCCAAGTGAATTTTCTTACCTGGTAGAACAATCACAGATTCCTCCTTAGCAAGCTTGATACAGAACTCCATATCATCATTTATGCCTTCCAATAGTTGCAGATTTAGCTTTACCTGCAATGAAACATAAAAATGATCAGTACATAGATGGTCAAATAATTTACTTTAAAACATAGAACAATTACAAATTGATGTCGTCGCTACCATTACAAACATGGATCCTTCTGGTTTATGTGGGCAGGTGATGCAAGGAATTTCCTTTAGTCTGTCGTAACAAGTATCTGCAGCTTCTTTGATCATACCAATAATCTTCGAAAAGAAATCCTCCGGTGTTCTCTCAATGATCCGAGGAACTGCTCCCTAATACATATGGACCACATAATTTCATTACTTGTTAGATTAGTTTAAAAGCAAGTTTATTAGAGGACAGATGATAGCACGAGTAAAATAAACTGCCTTTTTGTGCATTACACATTTTTCATAGGAATCAAGAACTTTGATTGAACCAGAAAGGTGTTGCAATTTTATGCACTGTATATGAATAAATATGGTCTTCAGAAAGCAGAACCATGAATTACATACCTGAATAATGGTTGCAGGATCAGAGGTGAGGTAGATGTAGCTCTTCAAGTACTCAGTAATCTAAACAAAATAAAATTTTCAAGGCATATAAGCACTTTGTGAATATATTTTGACTTAGTATTCAGTAAGTAAATTCAAGTTCAAATTCATGTTCCCTTTGTGTTATGCCATATACAATGAACGAACTCGTCGAATTTCCATCATGTGTTCAAAATTCAGTGAAATTTTTGTGATTAAGATGTGAAATTTTTGGTCACATAGACTCCGTGATCAATTGCATGAAATGCAGGTATTTCTGATTTAATGAGAAGCTCTTGCGATAATCAAAGATAATTTCCACACACATTACAACTATTTGCTATTGCAGAAGGTGAAGTAAGGCTTACAATTTATCTTCCATATCATGTATTGACTTGGGTCGGTATATGTAATTCTCTTTGAACAAATTGATAGCTTCTTAGCAAAAACATGGCATGTCAACTTAACTCACCTAATGAAATGAAGGGACTAATATGATAGATACAGTACCAATAATCAACTTTTAACTAGGGACGGTGAAAACCATATAAAATGCTATAAGTAATGTAACATTTTAAGTCAGAAAGTTAATATTAATAGTAAATCTAACATGTTAGATGGAATCCAGCAAATGGTAGATTAAAATGCTTCTCATCTCAAAAGCAATACAGCATGAGAAGCTAGGACCTGTTTGGTTTCAGTTTTCTAAAAAATAGTTGTCAAGAATTCAGAAAATAAAAACTTGTTTTAAGAAAATTACAAAAAAAAAAAAAAAAAAAAAAAAAAAAAATTTGAAAACAAGTCTTTTTTCAGGCAAATAGATTTTTGTACAAAATAAAATGCAGAAAGAGAGACAAGAATTAACCCCTGTCGTGTGAAGGATTCCATTTGGATCACTTGTTGCTATCCAACCAAGACGCCAACCGGGGACAATCCAACTCTTTGATAAAGAACCTAGTGTAAGAACAGGTATGATCGATCCAAACACACCCATTGGCACAAAAGGGTTGCTCCCAAAAACTAGGTGATCATAAACTTCATCTGCAATCACTAAAATTCCAAGCCTCCTTGCAGTCTCTGCAACCTATAAAGCGAACAAAAAAAAAAAGGACCAACATTTAAACCAAAAGCATAATAAAATTCTTATGCAGAGTTTAGTTAATTAACCAACCTTCTTCAATTATGAAAAACAAAAAACCCAACCTTCTTCAAATGTTCATATGTGAAAACATTCCCACATGGGTTTCCAGGGTTGATGATAACCATAGCAACAGTTTTGTCATCTGCAAGATTTTCCACACCGTCAAGATCTACTTCCCAACCTTTTTCCGGGAGAAGATCAAAATGGCGGACTTCAAGATGGCTGACTGCAGCGCGAGCTTCATAAAATGGATAGCCTGGTCTAGGAAGCAAAATGTTGGCCCCGGGGCGAGCAAGGACTGTTAATATGATTTCAATTGCTTGTTCGGCACCAACGGTAAGATAGACATCATCAGGTGATAAATTGTATGGAAGATCGCGTGAGAGAGATTCTGCAATGGACCTGTTACAAAAATTGAAGCATAAGTGTGTCGTATTGAGCTGATTAATATGACATACGTCATGAATGAGCATTTTATGTTTATTTACTTATTATTTCTATCAATGCTATAAAAATGGTAATGCTTTTTTATTATGTTCTTCATGTGTGACTCTAAGATATATATTTTGGGAGAGATTGTGAAAAATATATATATTTTGTGATTGGCTAATTTCGTTGTCAAAATAAGTCCGATCGAGTTGTAATTTTTGGGTTCAAAAATTCAAGATTGAAGATCGGATGCGGATTTGAAGAAGTTCAAGTATTCATGGTTTGATACACTCCGGGATGATGAGAACAATGCTTTAGAAAAGTATGTGAGTGTGTGAGAACATTTAGGAAGTTTTAGATGGTTGAAGCAAATAGCAAGTTTGCCTCTGTCCATTGAGAACCGGTAGCATCTTTGGGAACCAGTAGCCAACTGTTGTTCAAAAAGGGTTTCATCACTGCCCTTCTGGAACCGGTAGCTGATATCTCTATCAGTAGCCGAATCACGTTGGATTTGACACTGTCATTCCTGAACCGATAGCCAAATCTAGTACCGGTTCAAGGCATCAGATCTGCTTAGGTAACTATAGTTTCCTGATTTGTTTTGATTCCTTTTTGGTCCAGACTTCCTTCTAAAAACCTATACACGAATTTTAATTGTTTTACAAGTATTCTTAGGTCTTCCAAACTTCTATATAATATTTCTTTCACTCAACATTGAGGTATGGTTTTGAGGAACAAAAATTCATTTTTTTGAGAAAGTCTTTAAATAGATAATTTTCAGAAAATCAAATCTGATTATTCTGATTTTATTTTTGAGAGCACACACATATATTCATGAGTGATTTAGCAGTGTTGTTCTCTATCTCGTCGGAATTGGAGCTTAATTGAAGATTCAGAAATTCTGAAAGAGCAGATCTATTTCTTCTACATCAAAGTTCGTATCTTGAAGAAAAGGGGTAAAGCGATCACACCTTGAAAGGGTCAAAGCATTCGAGGAGTGTTGTTTGATCTACCAGTAATCCTTCTACTAGCTATGGAGATCAAGAGTAAGCCTGAGGTCAATAACTGTTGGATGGGACGTCGCAAAGTTAGAAGATTGTCAGCGATTGGTGTTTGATAGAACGATGGGGTGTGAGCCTGAGTCAAAGTCCATTGTACTTTGTTTCAAACATAGTGGATTGGTTTACTTAGGACTGCATAGTCCACGGGGTTTTTCCCACAACAATTGGTTTACTAATTGGGGTTTCCTTGTTAAAAATCCTAATGCAATCTCTTTAATTCTATTTGCTTTACTTTTCAGTATTTATCTATGTGATTGTGGATGTTTAATTGATCATATTGCTTAGGTAATTTAATTAATCACAAAAATTGGGCAAGTTGAGCTAATAATCTCATCTAGGTCATAAAAGGAGTTAATCACAATTAAATCAACTGGCAGCTTCCGCACCACGTAACGTCACAGTGACTTCAACACTACTATATATTGTGACATGATAATGCCTCCGTATTGCAAAGGTATTCTTTCCCTCATGAGTGCTCGTAAGTTACAGTCCTCATCTGTTTAGGGTCTTGTTGTACTGGTGTTGTACACTAAACAGTCTCGTTTTTCATATTTGTCCTTTTACAAACGGTAACGAATTAGTAAATAAAACTTCCTCGGTCCTAATTTAGTTGTTTATCTTTTCTTTTTGAATTGTTACCCATACTTGTCTACTTAACAAGTTAAAGAACACGTTTCACACTTTTTCATAAAATACTTCTGAAGTTTTAAAAAATTTCAAATTTGATTTTATATATATTCAAAATTAAAAAGATAATTTAATCATTTTCAAATGAGATAATGTATTAATTACATGTTCTCTTAAAAACTACTTCCTAAGATGTACGTCTAATATTTTATTAAGTGTAAGAATGACTTGAGTGTGTTTGAACTTCTTCAAACTAATCCTAAAATGCACCTAAATGATAGAAACATACATGCAATAGAAATAAATCCATATATACATGAAAAATGTCTGAATAACTATATATATATATATATGTATTTGCATGTATACCTCCTTGCTGGAAGGATTCCAACAGCTGGAGCATAGCAGTTGAAATTAGCAGAGCGGACAGCATCCACAATGGCATCTTCTGCTACAGGAGTGGTTCGGAAGCACGTAAAGGAGGATGGATCACCTTGGGCTAGAGGAATCATCGGCCTGTTATCTGCTTCATTCAAATTTGCCATTACCGTGGACTGAACACCTCTGATAGTCATGGCCGAAGCCATTTTCAGTTCTCCATTATTTCCATGAAAACCCCATTTTATTGATTTGTTATCCATTGCCCCCATATTCTTCTTCTTTTTCTTTGTCTGAGCTAATCAATCGGCTATTATGTGACTTATGCCTAATTTCAGACTCACAACTCTTAGGTGGAGAGAGTTAAGTGAGAGATTCGTCTGTTTGTGCGTGTATATTGAGAGTAGGAGATAAAGAGGATGCTATATATAGACATATACAGTAGCATGTGTACATTGTCAATTTAGTATACACATACATATACACACACTAGCATGTGTATATCGTCAATTCTGTTAGGTCTACATGAATTATGATTGGTCACCCGTCACCTGCATTGTGCCAAGTTGACACGAGTTTTAGGTCTCCATGAATTATGATTGGTCAGTCTCATTCCCACTGACTTTCTCCTACCTACCCACTGTTTGGAACCCTTGGTACATGTATAATTAACAAGCCACTTTGCTGTAATGTGATACATGTACTTGTTAAAAAAAAAAAAAAAAAAGTCCACGTACATCCTTGGATCGCTACAAAAAATAATGCACACGCACTATTTAAGTCTGAGAATGGACCATACAACATATGTAACATTCAAATCTGAAATATTATAATCACCAAAATTATTTTTAATATATTAAAATTCACGAGAAACTTAAAATTTGTATTCTTCAAATTTTAATATAGTAACACTAGGTCAAAAAGAAATTGTACAAGAAAATAAGTAAATTTTAAAAAACATTACGGAATAACAAGTGATAATGCAACCTGACCGAGTAAATCTTTTACTCTGGTACTTTTTCTTTTGCTTTGATAGAACTACATTTTTACAAAATCAAATAAATTAACTAATGCGATATAGTGCAACAATATAATAATCATATAAAACAATGCTAGGAACATGCATCTCCAATTTTAAGATTCTTACCCTGATGAATTTTTCTTGAGCAGAACAAGTTTGTGGTCGGTAGAGGTCATCATCAACCTGAGTACAAAAATTATAAACAAGTCCAACTGTCCGAGATAAGTTCATAAACCCTGGTCATTATTTTAAATCAATACAAAAGTCAGAAGAACAAGTCTTCACTCAGTTTATTTTAATAAATAGTAACATAGTACAAGACTATGTATATGTACTCATTTTAACTCTGTTATTCCCTTTATTCTGTAGTAAAATATTAAAACTTAGTTATCAGAAGATTTAAGTTCACACCATCATAAAATATAATTTATGTTAGGTACTCACGTTCCTACATAAAATAAATAAATAAATAAAATAAATAAATACATAAAATAAATAAATAAATAAATAAATAAAATATAATTTTATTTTTTAATTCATTTCAGAGCAACTCTTAGTATATAAATTATAAATGAATTAAAATTTTATAAAACTGTTACTGAATAGATGTATACAAATAATAGTCGTGTCCATGCCATGTCTGTGTCCTACTTTTTAAAAATTTGACGTGTCAACCTATCGGTATCGTATCGTGTCAGTATCTCGTATCTGAGTTCATGTTCGTGCTACATAACTTGACATAAACAAACAGAGTGAGCTAATGTCAGCAACAAAAAAATGGATTGAAGACCACTTTAACCCTTCTAATCAGGGGTGGAGCTAGGGGGTGGGTTTTTTGGAATTTTTTTTTACTATCTCCTAAATGTTAATAAATTTGTAAATTTTGCCTATAAGTCTATTAAAATTTTTAATTAGCCCCCCCAATATTTTTAGCACATATATTGACCAGCCAAGTTTTTTAAAAATTCTATTAATAGCCCCTAAATATTAATTAATTTGTAGATTTTGTCCCTAAAATTTATTAAAATTTTCAATTGGCCCTCCAATCTTTTTCAAAACACATGTATTGACCCAAAATAAAGAGTTTGAAAATAAATTTAGTTTATCTCCTTGAAATTTAATTTAATTTTTTCAACTTGCACTCTAGATCTTTTAACTATACTTTAAAAGCTTAAATATTATTAAACAAAAATTTAAGCTCATTATTATTATAGTCATTTTTTTTTGGTAAATAATTATTATAGTATTTATCGCAACACATTGTTATTTTATTTATATGTATACCTACAATATCTATAATTTTAATTCAAGAGAGAAAAAAAAGGAATAAAATAATTAATATTCCCTCATGTTTGGTAAAAATGCATGAAGCATTTTTTGTCAAACAATTTTGTAAAATGATATTTAGAAGAAAAATATCTAAAATTATATAACAATCTTTATTGGCAAGTCCTAGGAATATTTGGAAAGAAGATAAACTAAAATATTGTGAGACTCTCAATAAAGTTAATAATATCATCTATGCTAATACTTTTAGTTATCACTTTCTAAATAACAAATTTTATAACTATTTGTATCTTGTTTAATAACTCAATAATTATCTTGTTGATTTTTTTTTTAATTTTTAAAATTGAGTTAAAATTCATTATGTTGTTGAATTATGGAATCTAAATACTTAATTTTTTTCTTCCAAAAATTAGATTTTTGAAAAATGATATAATTGATAAAGAAAATTTGATTTTCGAACAATGCTTATTTCTTTACGTTTCTTCTCCATAATTTTCTTCTAACATCAATTTTATTTTTTTATTTTTTGTTCAAGTTGTATTTTTCTCATTTTTGAATTTTCTCAAGATATATATACTATGACTAGTATTTTTTAAAAAAATTATATTACAATTGATTTATAATTTTTTAAAATTTTTGTTACATAGTTCAAATCCGGTCTCCAACCTTAAATTTCTGGCTCCGCCCCTGCTTCTAATGGCTGGAATGACAGCAAATATGAAGAGCAAGTCAATAAAATAATACACTACCATTACCAAGTTGAACGACCGTCACTAAATGATGTAGAACAGATTGCTGATGATTTTGGAGCCCGTTTGGATCGTTGAAAGGTCAAATGGGTGAGCTGACACAGTTTTTTTCGAGATAATTTTGACGAGTCTATTTTGATAAGAAAAGACCATAATCTAATAAAAAAAACGGCCTAACTCGCAAAATTCAATAGTTGAGGGTGCCTTTCGGCCGAATTCAATCATTTAGGCTCGGGTTCTCTTCTTCTCCATGGGTCCTACTTGTAGATTTCAATGCTACATGTAATCTTAGTGAGGGACATGGAGATTCACTCAGATGGAATGCTGCTACTGACGACCTTAGATAATGCATTTATGGGGTTGGGCTTGATGATCTTAGATTCAGTGGAATTTTGTACTCATCATATAATAACAAAAGTCAAGGTGTTGCAAACATTGCAAGGAAGCTTGATAGAGCCTTGATAAATGAAAGGTGGAGTCCTATTTCCTTGATTAGAGTGTTTTTTCCTTCCATAGGGGTTGTCTAACCACAATCCAATTTTGGTTAGGCTAGGTGAGTTTCAGCAGAGGAAGCAAGTTCCCTTCAAATTCTTTAACTCATAGGCTTCAACTGAACTGAACAATTTCTGCCAATAGTTTCAACCACTTCGAATACATACATTAGAGGTACTGCAATGTACTAATGTGTGTTTTTATTTATCAATAATAAAATACCATTTGCAATAGAACGAATCCTTATAGGATAGGGCTATGTTGAGGGTGTCGAACCTTAAGGACTGTGGTGGTTCATTGAGTCTTTAATTAATTACTATTTTAATTTAGAAGGAAAATTTGATTTGTTGTGTTGTGAAGCAATTCAAAAACAGAAAAGAAAATAAACGGAATAAAAAGAATGAGATCAAGAGAAGAAATACTTAGGGATTGACTTCATCACGAATCTCATACTATGGTCAACTGTTCAACCTTGGGATTTCAATAATTATGTATAATATGGAATTAAACTCAATAACATTAATTTAATTCAGATTTAAAGAAAGATGTTTCATGAATTTCAATTAACTATAACCTATCTGCGGTTGGCACGAATTATCTACCTACCTACTTCTAACTAATTTTACAGTATAACTTGTCTTCCCTAGGCATAGACTATGAAAACATTCATTCATGAAAGACGTTTGAACACCATTGCATGATCTCCATTCTTATGTCCAACAGGGCTCCGTTAGATATCGTCCAATAACAATGGGTTGAATATAATTTAAGAATCATTAAATCTAAGACAAGGTATTAATCATTCAAAAACTATTTAATAATTAAAACACCAATTGAATTAAGAATTTGCCCAAAATCATGCAATCAAAATACATAATATATTAAATTCCTAAAGTATAGGACAATCAAACCATAATATTCGGATTCGGGCTACATTAATGCCCTAAGAGAGGAATTAGCTATTCATGACGATGCAAGATATCATCTGTGTTATTGTGGTATTCATCTCCATGGACCTCCAAAACTCCTTTTGGATCTTCTTCTTCAAAACCCTAAAAGTCGCCGTGAGAGAGATTTATGATAATATCGAAGAGAGCTGATATGATGGCCTTGTGCCTTCATTTATGGAAGAATTAACTTCTAATAAGGGTTAGATGGGCTTTTAGATCTTCTAGGGTAATCTAGGCCTATAAGGAAACAAAGAAAGATGATGTTTGGTAATTCTCGCATGTATTTTTGACTTTCAGAATGTCCAGGCTCGAGCTTTAGAGTCCCAAGCTCGAGCTTTGAGGTTCAGGCTCGAGCATTTGGGTTCAGGCTCGAGCATCACCTGCCAGCAACTTATTTTGACTTTGTAACCCAATTTTGACCCATTTAGAGTGTGAATTTCGAGATGGTTATTAGAGATAAAAACGTAGGTCTTTGAGTCTTGTTTCCAGAGTCACTAAGTTTGCTCAATTTGGAGTTTCGAGTCAAAAGTTATGCCTAAAATACTGAAGCAGGTTAAGAGTTTTCAGCCATGCTCGAGCCTAAAATGTTGGTGTTCGATCCTCTCTTCATGGTGCTCAATCCCAAGGTGTTGGGCTCGAGCTTTAGGGCTGTGGGCTCGAGCTTTAGGTGTTAGTGCTTGATCCCTGAGGTCTGGCACGAGATCTGGGAGCTTGGAAATCAATTTCTTCAAATTTCGACGCCTTGTGCTCGAGCTTAAGTGTCAATGCTCAAGCACCCTATGGTCAGGCTCGAGCACCCTTTGTTTAGGCTCGAGCCTGAAGGTGCAAGGCTCGAGCTTCAATGCCTTGTAAGGATCGAGCCTTAAGACTTGGGCTCGAGCTTTGGATTCTAAATTCTTCCAAACTTCACCATTTAAGCTTTCGGTTTGCTCTGAATGTCCGGCAACGACGCAGTAAACTTCATTATCATTCTTTTCATCTTAAAAGCCCGGTTTTAACCGTTTCTCTA